GAAATTTGCAAGATTTTAAATGCGTATGAAGTACTATGAGGACACACATTTTTAGCCTGGCCTTTGGCACTTGATAATGTCCCTACTCTCATTATTGTAATTTATTTCTAACCTGTTTTAAATATTGATTTTTTAAATTGTTGCAACCCACCTTGGGAACTTACAGTGAAGGCTGGTAAGAAATCCAGTAGTTAATAAATTTTGATTATACTTAGAACTTATTCTCCCTTTCTAAACTCTCTTTTAACTGAATGAGAATCCTAGGAGCTGCGGTTTGTTCAGGGGTGTGAGAGTTGTTGGACCTTTTCCCCTAAAGGAGGGATGGTTAATCCACTCCCCAATGCTGCTCAACATCCGTCACAAACTAGAGCTCCCAGAATTCTTTGGGGGAAGACATGGCTGTTTAAAGTGGTGTCATAGGACTTCAGATGGTGTGAACATGGCTCAGGTTTGGCTAGATCTGTTCATGAAACATCACTAGAAGGGCTGCTGCCTGCTAGTAACTTCTCCTCAGGGGCTGGGCAGAGGAAGGCTTCAAAGTTCTGTCCCCAGGAGTGGCTGCAGAGAGCACTCAACAATTCACTGGGCATCAGATGCCGTTGCTGCTGCTGCTGCAGAAGTGCTGAGGAGCTATTGCCTGGCACTGCTCAGATTTCCCTCCTGCATACAGACCGTGTGCCCTGGCATGAAAGGGCCTGAGTGCTGCAAGGCTCAGCAGCTAGAATTATCTGGCAAGTCCGATCAGACTCAGGACCCTCCTGCTCCACCTGAGGACTAGGCCATCCCTATACATTATGTCTCTCCCTCCTCATGTCATGTACAATAACATTTCTAATATTTGATCCCAAGAATGCCAGCCTGCCAGCCAGTCCCCACCCCCTCCCCACTGCTTTTTATGAAATCCCACATCTAGTAGCACGGGCGTAGCCAATTTTTTTGCGCGCGCGGGGGGGGGTTGGCCTTTTGTTAGGGGGGGCAGAACCTCAGTTAGCTATGTACCATATCTTTGTTGAGTTTTACTGATCTGGAAGGAAATATGGTTGGTTAAGTGGTTGTGAGGCAGCTGTATCTCACTGGCCTGAACAGAAGAGGCTTGTACCCATCTGAGCCTCAGGGATGCCCCCAGGATCTGCAAATGGGCCTGCAGCATCCGTGCCTCTGCCCTCCCCCAGCAATCTAGTGACAAGAAGTGCTGCTTGTGTACATAGATTAACTGAACCTACCTCAAAAGAGTTGTTGCAAAGATATGGAGGGTGTGGGGAGCAGAGGAAAATGTACACAATCTTGAGCTGGCTAGAAAAGCAAGATACAACTACATGTCACATAGCGCAGAGTTACAATTCCCACATCATGCTAAGAAAGTCAGAAAAGAGGCCTCCTTGCTTTAACTGCAGCATTTCATACCCAAGCAAATAGGTTTGCCAGTCCTCTTTAAGCACGTGCTGTTTCACAGCTTTGCTGCCTGCGCTACCATTAAAATGTTGTATTTTAATCTTGTTTTTAAGTTGTATTCATTCAACTTGGTATTATTATTGCTTGTTAGCCTTGGCTGGGGAGGGCGGGGTATAAATAAAATATAATATATTATTATTATTATTATTATTATTATTATTATTATTATTATTACCAGCTCTCAGGGCTGTTGTGAAGATAAAAGAGGGAGGGGAAAGAGTGCACACAGCCTGGAGCTCCTAGGATCAAGACACAAATATACAAGCAACCAGCATGTGTGGAGTCACAACTCTCCACGCATACACAACTTTTTGCCAACCTAAAAGATCATAAAATATAGTCCATGGGAATTTTAACTTGATGTAGCTGTAAGCCGTTTAATTATTTCGTGGGTGCATTTGCCAATTCATTCTGTAGTTCATATTTTTGTTTTATGGTTACTTTCTGCATACTAATAAATGACAAGCAGAACAATAGAGGCTTTGTGGGGGACTTGGAAAACTGGTGGGGAGACACAACTGCAATATCAGTTTTTTCTCAGTAGAAAGTAAACCTCATTTATTGCAAGACAGTTGCTTCCAAAGAAAACATAGCAAAGTCAGTTGTGTTTTATTATGTAAAGGCAGCACATTTGGGTGGATGAAATAAAGTGAACAGGAATGAAGTGCAATCATACCCCCATTTCCCTCCTTCATCCAACTTTTTTTTTTTAAAAAAAGATTTTCATTAGTTGCAAACACAAATACATCAAATATACATAAATAAAACTAAAAAAAGTAAAGGTTATAAGAGAGAGAAGAAACAAAATGACTAAAAATAGAAAAATAGACAACAAACTTCAAAAAATAAATATTTTCACATCAACTTCTACATAGGGAGTTCAATCCCTTTTTAAACAGCTTCGGCTTGGCTCCTTAATTCGTATCTTGACTTCCTGCTATCGATGAACGTACTTATTATATCAATTTTTTCCAGATCTGTATTCAAATGGTAAATCTTGGAGAGACAGTCTGACAGTGGGATTTAGTCCGCGTTAAGCCAGGTGATGTTATGGAAGCCTTCTTTTTCCATGTAATTAATAAAGACAGCTCTTTTTCTCCTTGTTCTTTCTTTTGAGTGATTTATTAGATCTGTTAATTTAGCAAGTTCTAAATATTCACTTAATTTTAAGAGCCATTATTCTTTTGTGGGACTTGTATTGCATTTCCAATGTTTCGCTATCACGATCCTTGAGGCTGTGATTACGTACAGAAATCTCTTTTATTTTCCTTTGGGATGAGCATTGTGAAAATGTCCAATAAAAATAATTCTGGCTTTTAAAAATATGTACGTCTAATCATTTTTTTTTATTTCTTCATATATCATGTCCCAGATTTTTTTGATTCTGGGACACATCCACCACATGTGGAAAAGACTCCCCTCTTTTAGATTACATTTTCATCATTTGTTACTAATATTTTTGTTCATTTTAGCCAATTTTGCTTGAGTCAATATACCACTGGTACATCATTTTAAGAAAATTTTCTTTAATCGTGTTAACAGGCTGTGAATCTGATATCATCTTTCAAGAGGTTTTCCCATTTTTCTAATTCTTTATTATATCCCAGGTCTTGCGCCCATTTTACCATTACATCTTTAATTCCGTCTTTTTCTGCTGCTTGGGGAAGTGGGGGGACGACGACGACCCCTTCTGAGCCCCTGGTGGGGGTGGTGAACATCCCTTCCGATTGCTTAGCAATAGTTATTAAGCATCCTTAGCAATGGTGCTCAAGCACTCAATCTGCTTTCACTTTTTGCGCTCTAGCTTTCTTTAGAAACGTCCAACTGACTTAGCTTTCATTTCTTAAAAAACGAGCACTAAGTTTGGGGGGCCCTGCTGGCATTTGGCCCAGGACAGAGGCATCCCTTGCATCTGCCCACACCTATCCATGGGTGGCCTTGCTGGGCCTTGTGGCTATGGTGGTTTTGCATACGTCAGTAGAAGCCTTGGAGATTTATTAATCCTATGATCTGATGGAAGGGCTTTAAAATACAAGAAATGGAGTGCTATATGTATAATATATATCCCCAGTTTATGGAGCCAGCATCTGCTAAAAACAAGAAACTCATCAAAATTGCGGGTATGGAGCAATAGTGGTGCTAGTCTATAGCAAAACATGCACACCTATAACACCTAGCAAACCGCTTTCTAGCACAGGTGTGGGGAACCTTTGGTATTCCAGATATTGTTGAACTACAACTCCCATCATCCCTGGCAGTTTCTTTCTGGGGGAAGTAAAGCTCTGTGTAGAATTTTTTTTATGAAGTTCTGTGTAAAAATATGCAAAAGCAAGGAGAATCTTTCAGACTGCAGTAAGACAAGGTCAACGATGTAGGTTCTCGTGAGATTTTTAGAAGCCCAGTATAAGGGAAATCCAGCATGAATTACTCTGCCCTCCACCGAGAAAGGGTTTGCCCTCAAACTAACATCTGGTAATTTCCACGTACAGGCAATCTGAAAAAAAGATTTGGACTTTCTTTACCACCCGTCTGCAGTTGTTACTCAGAGTGGTAAACCAATTACAAGAGCCCAGTGAAACAGGTAAGATTAACAGAATCTCACATGGCCACTCCCCATTGGAGCTCTTTTCAGGACCCCTGAATTATATTTCATACTAATCTGCATTTTCTTCTCTTCCCAGCCTCCTAATTCACTAGCCCACCCATCTAAATATTCTGTACTACCACCTCCCCTCAATGATGCCCCATTTCTTTTTAGGTTACCCCATGTTTCAGCTTGCCTTTAATGTTCTCCCAGCACGATTCTGTCCTCCACAAAACTGCCCTACCTCTTCAGAGATACCCTGGCCAATACAACTTTCTATTACTCACATACTCAGCAACAAATCACCATTCTCCATTTTTCTCCCTAAGAGACAGACTACCTCAATACAATCTTTTCTGTGCTTCAGCCCTCCATTATTCTCTGAACATTCCTTTGGAAAACCCCATTCCTATTTTTATTTTGACACTTTCTCCTTGATACAAGTCACATCTGTTCAATACTCTCCCTCAGTTCCTCCACAAACCCCAAAACAGTTCCATTTATGACTCCCCCAAGGCTTCTACTCCTTCCTCCCTACAGGAGCTCCACTTCTCTCTTCTCCCCTGCAACCACTTCCCAAAGTCAATTCCATGGGGGAAGAGGGGAGAAACTTCAATAGGGCATCACCATCTTTTCCTTTCACATGTTGGAAATTGTTCTCTTCTCAACCCCCCTGGAGCCCGTCCCTGTTTAACATCTTGTTCCACAAAACAAAGCAGACTGGGCAGCTAATCCAAACCTTCAATTCTTTCAGAAAATTATACACATTTTTGACAATTATTGTATGTGGCACTCTTAACAGTTTGCTTGGTATTTTATCCCCAGGCATTTCCCCATTTGTTACCTGCAATATACTTAACAAAAGAGTAACAGATATTTAGTTCTAATCAATTCAAAAATGCTACTCTCAAAATAACCCTTTATGCTTGAAGAGGCAGTGAGAAAAAATAAAATAGTCAAATACTTAATTGGAACATTCAGAACAATTTATTGAAGTCAACCTCAAGCAAAGATTTAATCAGTGGAATGTCATTTTAAAAACCTTTCCAAATTAATTTTCACAGAAGCAAAACCACATCTGAATTCCAAAGTATTTGTAAAATAAAAAGGCAACATTTCCGTTAATATAATGTACAAAAATTATATGTTCCTACCATCACTCACATTCAGTAAGAAGCTAAAATATTACAGGCAATCCTAGATACACTATGACTAATAAACAATGAGCTATCTATATACAGGTTAACCAAGCTCCATAGATTTCACACTATGCAAGAGAACATAGGCCAAACAACAAAACCCTCCAAAATGTTGTTTAAGTCTCAAAATCTACGCAGCAACATCAAGTCATAATACAGTAATGTCCCCATGGAACATCCCCAGGGAAAAAATAACACGACTTTAAAAGTGTTGAGAGCTTCTATTTGGGTTTGAGAAACTCCTCTAATATATTGACTTTAAAGTGAATAACAATGATTTTGCTATTAAAGACTCTGGTGATTTTTGTTAAAATAACATTTCACAGAATCTACAAAGGTTGGTACGTAGTAACAAGGTCTACAGAAATAACAATTCTACAAATTCATTGTTACAGATAGAGTACACAGGAATGGAGACAAATTGTTGGTACTGGTGCCCATTGTGCAATATCACATGTGTGGGTACAAATGGATTTTTGTCTTTTCATACAGCAATGTCAGAATAAGCACATACCCTTATAAACAATAAAAAGACACAGTCTTGTTACTAGCCAGTCATAATAGCTATTTTACCATCATGGTTTTCAACGGCAACACAAATTATTTGTTGTTGTTTTTAAAATGGGAGGGGTGATGACACAGGCTAGACACAGATCAATATGAATGAATAAACAAATATAATATTTTCTCCAGTTCTTATTGAAAAATAATTCATTCGGATGTCCACTTGGGGGGAGAGGACAGGTGTTTGGGAGAGGATTCAACACACTGATTTTATTAATTTCCAAAAGCAGACTTCCAAAACCACCACTACACTGGTTCCTCTGCACAACTGCCAATAGCATCACTAATGGGAAGCTGTGAATGGAGGAACAGCTTTGGCAAAGTGGCAGTGTTTTTCTTTTAACTGAAATGAAGTTAACACGTGGGGGGAAAGGATGTAACCCACCAAGCTCTGCTCCTGAGCATTCTGCACTCCTCTCCATGAAGCTTGTATGGTTTCTGCACCAATCCCACTGGCAGATATGGCAAGCACACAGCAACAGAGCTTGCCACCCCTGGACTTCTGCATGAAAACACAGTTGCAAAGAAACTTCATTTCTTTCTCACCAAAGTCCAGGGAGGGGACCCCTCACCCAACTGCATCTGCACCGCAGCTTGTCATACAACAAATGCTGATTTACCCAATTCTACCCGCTAAAGCAATCTAAAGCACACCCAGGAGTGTTTTGATAAGTGCAAATATCTTTCCTGAAATGCATGAAGGGGGCAAGAGAAAGAAGACTAACTGATTGTGGAAAAGTAAATATTTTTTAAAGTCATAATGCTGATGTCTTGTACAACTGTCCTTTTTTCTTAAGAGCACAGGAAAAGGAGACACTTTTCAAGTCCTTTCTGTTTGCCTCGTGACCAAGGAACTGAAGCAGAAGTCAGTTTCAGTGTTAAGGTGGGAAAAAGAGAGACTTTCACAATACCATATAAAATACATAAATATAACACAAGCTGTAAAGTAAGAATGGGAACAGCTTCAAGTACATTAAACCCTGAATTCAATGAGGCAGAAGTTCCAATGTTAAAGTGACTAAATTCGTACCAGCGGCAGACCCCCCCCCCCAAAAAACACCCAACCCATAACTTCTCAGTATATACAGTCAACTATGGTTAGAAGGTCATTGTCAATGATACTCTAGTAATTACATCTTCCCAACACCACCTGTATATGTTGGAGGCAAAGAGTCCAAGCAAAAAAGACCAATGAAATACCCAATTCCCTTTTTACTTCATGTTAATACAAGTTCTAAAGGGCTGTTTCTCACATAGCAATCTATGTAACACAGATGCACACCTGAGGGCTGCTAAAACACAATGTGAGAAGTGCATACTTGTATGTAAAAACAAACCAAAAGCACCACTCTATAGTACGTACAAACCCTTGTCCGTGAACAGCGGCAGACATGTATGACTGTATGTCTGCATAATGCAGCTGCAAATCACACCCATCTCGAGAGATAAATGGAAAAGTATTGCAAAGATGATAGGGCAGGTGGACGTTCCCAAGAGAAGACGCTTTGCCTTTCCTTAAAATGTAACCCAAATTATTCGTGTAGTTTTGAAGTGCTACCTCGCATGGTGTTCCCTATCTGTCCATTGCTTGCACGTGCTGTGAGCAGAGTGACATCTGATGCAGGGAAAATGCAGGGGGCATCCCAGTCGACTGCATTTCCCTAGTAGGTGTCCACAGACAGGACTCCACTTTGGACAAGAGAATCTGCATCATGCCACATCTGGCTGACCTCTCGGGAACAGCATCAAAACGGCGGCCTTTATCGTGTACTGGTCTTTTTGGAGATGGAATCACATATTGCTATAGCTTTTGATGTGCTTGCAGACAAAAAAAGTGTTTCTTGTGGCAGTGCACCTGTGTTATTAAGACTGTGATGTGAAAAGCAACCCTGAATCTCTGGTGAATGTCATGGTGACAATTCAACCAGAATACTTCCTTACTCTACAGGCAGCGTTCCTGAGCTGAATGTGTCCATTCTTTCATTCCAATGGGCAAGGTAAAAAGAACAGAAACCTGCAGTATTATAGTGGAGCAAGCCAGCAAATACTCCAATCTATGGAGTAAAGCAAACCTTAACATGTTCTACACACAGCCAGATCATCATTTGTGCAAACAGAGTCTAAAGCAATTACACACAAAATTGAATTCCACTGAATTCACAGAACAAGCCTAAGCAAGTTTACTCAGAAGTAGGTCCCACTGTGCTCAATAGGGGTTCACTCTCAGATAAGTGCGTATAAGATTGCAACCGAAATGAGGCAGGACCACCGTGGCCTACTGTATTGGCCAGGCATTGTTCTAGCCCTTTCCACTAACTGCCTGAGGAAAATCTTCAAGCCTTCATTTTAAGTCGTTAGGCAGAAGTGGGGAAAAGCAGGGCAAGAGATAAAGGAGGAGTGCTTAGTCCACCTCTCTGCTTAAGGCAAGCATGCACAGGGGAGAGGAATGCCTGTTTACCAATCCAAATAAAGGCTGTCAACTGGTGCAACCCCATCTTCCAATAAATGGCACTGCTTAAACTGCTCATTTTACAGTGACAAGGTGACAAAATATTTAGAAACCAAGAAAAATAAAGTCCACAAGGATATTAAGACTGACTTGCTTATATGGAAACACTTATTAGTCCATGATTAGTATTTGTTATAAAACTTGTTTAAAATGTCACATTATTGTAGCTCTGCATTTTTAAAAGAAGGCTCCTTGCTGTTTTTCAGTATTATTTTTAAAAAACCAAGTGCTAAAAAGTTAAATAATGATGTATAATAAAAAATTAAAAGAACACTCATAGTCTCCCCTGTTAAGATGTGAAACATTTTAACCTTATGAAGAACCTGTGGGGTTCAAAAGCCACTTTTCCAGCACACCAAAAGGTTCCATCCAAATACAATGCCTTTTCCTCTTCTATACGCATTTCAGTGCATACAATAATTTAAGCTGCTAAGTGACCTGACAATGGAATTCCTATTTATTCCACAGAGAGGGTTGGCTTGACCACTGGTTCAATGAGATATTTTCCTTGGGTGCTGACCTTGTAGGGCAGGGTGGCTAAAAGCCAACACTGTCCACGGTTAACTTAGTAGCTATGTACATTTCAAAACCCATCACTACCTGAATGGCATCTGTTGCCAGGAATAGTTAAGCCTTTGGGGACTGGCTATTTGATCTATCCAAACTCTGCCACAGGAGAACTGAGCACCATCTAGCGCCTCCCACTCCATCAAGTGACAAAGGAGTGTAGGGAAGAGAAGATACAGCAGTCTGAGCGGAGAGTGCTTGCACCATTCTGTGCCCACCAGCTTTGTGTAGTGGGCAGGCAGAGCGGCTCTACCATCTTGTGGGAAGGCAAGCTCTGAGCCTGCAATTTTAGATGGGGACAAAATTCTCCCCCAGAGGATTTCTTCCCACTCCTCCTTCAAAATACCAACATGTTGCCAAACAACATATTCAGAAAATTAAAATCTAGTACACAAAAAAACAAAGTGTAGTGTTTTAAATTTTGCCTTTAATATTGCCCCTTAGTTTGGTCAAGTGTGTGGCAACTTCCTTTAGAGCTCTATACCACTCAACTGGCCCACAAGCAGAGCAGGAAGAGGCAATGGAACCTGTTCTGCAATGGGAGTTGCAGAAAGACTCTGCAAAATACTGAAGCTAAAGTACAATTCATACGCTTTGCAGAAATGTAGTGTGTTTGCCTGTACAAAAGGAGGAAAGTAAGTTGCATTTTCTCTTAAATTAGAAGCATTTTAAAAGCAGCAGGGGGTGGCTGATGGGAGGAAGCCTATTGAAAAAGCTGAGCCAGGAAACAGCCTACTGTCTTCTTTTCTGGTACTGACCAGTCTATATCTGAAGTTGAACTTTTCCACATAAATCAATGCATGGTTATAATTACAGTAAGTGTCTCTGGACACATTTAGAGAGCACTCATTGGGAGAAAGTTGGTAAAATTGGCTACTGTACTGTTGCTTTGCGAAGAGCTATTAACAAACATGATCCCTTCTGGGATACAAACATTGCTTTTGTTAGACTGATGGTATCACCATGGGCCATTTTATACCCTGTACAGTTAAAGAACGTACTTTTAAAGACATTCAGGTTTTTATTTAATCAAGAGATTTCGTACGACCAAGCCACACACCAAAATCAGCTATAGAGCCCCAGAACAAATAACCAAAACTCACAGTATCCTAGGTCCTCAGAAAGTAGGAGGAGCCTGGACCAAGGAAATGAACCTATCAGATATTGGCAAGCATGCCACAGAGCAAGCATGGATTGGACATTAAAAATGCACACTGAAGGCCAAATTCTGCCTCTCAAATTTGAAAGGGAAAGCATAATCAGGGGCTAAACCAGCAGAGACCTCGGAGGGCCAGGTGGCAAATCCTGCACAACACGTGGCCCATAAAACAAGAGTTTAGTGGAGCCCAGTTAGGGCAGAACCTGGGAGTGCAAACTCTGAAGGCAGTAGATTTTTACTTTGCACCCTGCACTATGGCAAGACTTACAACAAGCAAGGAAAGCACTGTTTAATCATTCTTTTCACGGTAGAAAAGTGACTTATGCTTAATTAAACTGAATGGTGGACAAGACACCAGATGCCCCCAGGTACCTCAAGCTATTTCCCATTATCTAAAGTGAATTATTGTGGACGCAATCTTTCAGAAGCAGCTGCTCCCCAAGCACTTTCAAAATGAAGTGGGGTTTCAAACACGGCATGTAAGAAGTCTACAGTTTCACCATTTTCTGAAAATGTAGTTTCAAACAGAATGCACTTCAAGAGTAAGCAGATCACAACTAGTTTGCTGTGGGAGAACCTCTAGTATGATCACTCTTCATTCAGTTAAAGTGACATAAACCAGCCCTCATCTCAAAACTTTTCGTCATGGTGAACGTACTGGAATGAGGCCATGTCACTTGCCAGCTGCCACGATAGGCTCTTGCTCCAGCCCCTAATAAGATTTATCTAAAAGGCTATTGGTGTGCAGAGGCTTTTTCTCATGTTTCTAAAACTAGACAGGAAAATAACCCTACAGATACATCCATAGATACCAGGCTGGTGTTGCTACTCCTTTTAGACACACTGACCGTAGTAGGACGCAAAATCCTCAAAGTCCATTAAAATTTAAATAAATAAATATTTTGCTATGTTTGGTTTCCACACTCAGAGAAGATACTTTAAACATGATGCCTCTCCCCCCACAAAAATGTCGGAAAGGCTTCCTCGTCTAACAACAAAAGGTTGCCAAGACACTTCATCCCGTTTCTCAAGGGCAAATGGATCGGAGCGCAGGTGCTGCAGGCTGCCAACGGCCACACAGACTCAGGTGGCCCCTGTCTGAGTTCCAGGGAAGCCACCCCAAAGACAAAAAGAGAGGATGCCATGGCACTTTATCCAAATTCACAATAATGTGCCACTCAGTGGGGCGGGGGGCAAGGTGGGTTCTTGTTTTAAGGAAAGGAAAGTTTATTCCTTCGAATCTTCCTCAGGATTCTGCTGTTCCAATCGGCGTTTGATCTTGCTCCAATACTCTGGTGCCACAGGAGCCTTGGGGTTGTGTTCAGAGCAGCACGGACGCCCATCCAAGCCAGAGGCCACAAGGGCCCCTTTTTCATGATCCTTGCAATAAGAATGGGGGCAGAACTCACAGAACGAAGAGGCAGGGCTGCTGCAGATGTCACACTGGTGCCACGGACATTCCCATTTTCCTGAAAACAGAGCAGGGTGTGGGGAGATATTAGTGCAGGCACTAGGAAGCAAATATCCTGTTACCAGATTGCCAAGGCACACATAGTTCCAGCTCACACATAATGCCAAGCCACATTTTATCTCAGGTACTTCTCTCTCCTCTTGTACACTCCAGGTTTTTAATTACTTTCTCTGCAGCATACACCACAGTTTTATGTCCTATCCAGCAAACACTGGTTTGAAGCTGCCTAAGAATCCTGTGCGAGATTTAAAGCATAAACCAACGTTTGAAATGGCAAACTATTGCTTGCTCTAAACAAGGGGATTCTGCAATCTAAATCTGAGAGGCAAAGTTTGAGGAAACAATTTAGCTCAGTTCTATTCTCAATATAAAAAAGAAAACAAGACTTTAATAAACCACATGCTAATGTAGTTTATTGGTCCCACTCACAGGTGGCACTGTGGTCTGAACCACTGAGCCTCTTGGGCTTGCAAAGTGCAAGGTCGGCGGTTCGAATCCGCGTGATGGGGTGAGCTCCTGTTGCTCTGTCCCAGTTCCTGCCAACCTAGCAGTTCGAAAGCAAAGCACACCAGTGTGAGTAGATAAATAGGTACCACTGTGGCAGGAAGGTAAACAGCATTTCCGTGCACTCTGGCTTCTGTCCCGGTGTGCCAGAAGCAGTTTAGTCATGCTGGCCACACGACCCAGAAAAACTGTCTGCAGACAAACGCCGGCTACCTGGCTTGAAAGCGGAGATGAGCCCCTCACCCCATGGTCGATTTTGACTGGACTTAACCGTCCAGGGGTCCTTTACCTTCACCTTTACTTGATCCCATTATTATTAACCATCATATATGCCAGGGATGGAGAACTTGTACCCCTCCCTTCCCTCCGGGATGTTGTTGGAATATCAAACTGTTTCCTAGGTGTCACAAAGTTAAACAGGTGAACTCTGCCTGCTCTTAATAATTCCACACAGAGGTTCATGGCTACCAAGAAAAACCTGTAAAGTCAAGTCAGGAAGCACCTACCAAAGGGTGGCTGTGTCAAGTTAAGGCAGAGGAGGTGGTATGCTTTGGGACAGTCTTTTTTGTCACACATGACCAATTCACCTCCATCTCCACACTGGAAACAGTTGTCCTCATGCATCTGCTTCTGCTCTGTTTTTATCTTCCGCTTCTTCTGTTTTAATTTTGCATTCTTTGCTTTCTCTTCATTTGCTGTTGCACACGCCGTCTAGCAGTTGGAGGAAAGAGTCACCAAGTCACTGGATTAGACAACTTTAACTGTCAGAGGTCCTTTACCTTTTACCATTAAAAAGAAGAGCCAACCCCCCCCCCTTCCTTCTGTTTCTCAGGCTCTGGCACTGACACCTGAAGACACCAGTAGCCAGTAACAAAAAGTAGTACATCACCCAAATAGATCCAAGCAGGCACCAGATGTTTTGTACATGCTGTGTGTGTTTATAACAAGAAAGAACAGGGACGGATGGTCCCGTTTTTCTCCCACAATGAGCTTTACCACATACATTGGGGAGGTTCGGGCACCCCGTGTGACATTAAGCATGAAGGTTTCTATTTGCCGATTCTGTCCCAGAGGGCTTTACTCCGCTTGCACAACTAACCTTTGGCCGCACTCCTAGGAATCCACTGCAGTTATCTGCTCCACAGTGGCATTCTGTCCTGCCATTCCCCAGGCAATCCAAATTATAGTTAAACGTTAATTCCATCCCTAGAAGTTCAAAAGAAGCACTTTACACACTAGCTGTTTGTGAAACAATGTCAGCATCAAGTGTATTTCAGAAAATTATGATGCGCCAGCACATGTCAAATCTTAAAAGAGGTTGGACAAGTAAGCAACATATTTTTAAAAATGTGATTGCCCCTCTTGCCCATCAAGGTCAGAGCATTTCAGCCAAGAAATTTCTTCTAAACTGACCTGGTGTTATGGCTTTCAGGATACAGATCCCTTGCCTGCCCTATTTCTATATGGTATGCACATGTGAATTCCACACTTGTTCTTCTACACTTATCCTTAAAACATTAAAAACAGTTCAGAATGAATTATCATGACAACTAGAGCGGATCCGTGTCACACATGTATGTCAAGGGTGAAGAGGTGCATCTGCAGCATTTGGCAAAAACTGTGCAATGAATTTGCCAGAAAGGGAACCCACAATAGCAGCCACCCAAATGTCAATGGGAAGCCCACAAGTGTGACATGAACAGAAGAGCACTCTCCCCCCGCAACTGAGACTGAAGGAGCACCACAACAGATACTGGAGTACAAAGCCATCAGGACGAGAAGAGCTGGGAAATTGTCTGAAACCAGTATGGCGTTCAGATCGTGATACCAGTTTCAGACATTTTGAGCTGGCAGTACATCACACCAGCTCAAATTGCCTGCAGACAGCGAAGGCGCAGGCAGATGGAGCCTGAGAGGGTTCTGGGAGAGCACCTTCTTGGGCTCTGCCTGCCTGTGCCTTTGAGGAATCCGCCTGCCTGTCCGGCTCACACGAGTCAGAGCAATATGGGGGCTCACTCGGCTAAGGGGTAGGAGACTTCCCATTCCCAGTGGAGTAGTTTAAGGAAGTTCTTGCAGCCTTCCAGCTCACATGAGCTGGAGAGGCATCAGGGCTTGCTCAGCAGGGCTGGGCATGTCTCTCGGCTGTGTCTTCCTCCCCTAAGGTGGAAAGAAGAAGCAACCAAGACACATTCAAGACATTGTGATATAATGGTATATTGTGATATTTAGATCTTGAAAACCAGATGTTGCTCAGCCCTAATGACTAGCAGCTATTGAAAGTGTTATCCTCCATGGATTTGTCAAATTCCCATTTAAAGCCATCCAAGTTTGTGGTCATTACTCTATCTCACAGCAGCAAATTCTATAGTTTAAACATGCACTGTGCAAAGAAGTACTTTTTTGTCTGTCCTGAGTCTTCCAACATTCAGCTATATTGGAGAACTCAGGTTCTAGTATTATGGGAGAGTAAGGAAAACTTCTCTTACTCCACACCACACATGGTTTATACACCTCTTTCATGCTGCACCTTACTCACCTTGTTTACTCAGAGTAGACTAGCTAAAATCAATGATCCTTATTTAGTCTTGTTTATTACATTCAGTGGGTCTATTCTGAATAGGGCACTGTATGCCTCCCTTTTTGTCTCAATCCTGGCAGTGAGAGGCCTTCTGTGCCCATTCAGTGCTCATGTGATAAAAAGTGTGAGAATGGTCTCAACCACCGCAGACCCTTCCTGATTCCACTGCAGAACGTGGCTGTTGTGCTGCCACTTCTCTATCCCCTACCTGAGGATCAGGACCATCACCCACAGAGCAACAATTTACAGTATTACGGATCCTCAAGAAAAAGGCAAGAAAAGGCTGCAAGGCAGGCGAGGAAGACAGAGTAACATTAAAAGGAAATGGAGCAACACCAAAGCACTCTTACCTGCAGGAATATCACAGAGAGCGAAGAGCCCAACTCGGACATCTCCACTCACTGTCCATTTCTGAGTTTCACAGTTGGGGTTGCAGCTGTGGTTCATAAAGCGAGAGTAATTTCCCTTGGGGCCAGCATCTATTATACGGTCCTTCAAAAAGACCAAAGAACAGAGACACAATCATATACAAAATGTATAAGACTTAAGTTTGAATCCATCCTGTTGTAGCAAAAAGCAACACACTTTCTTGTGCCAGATATTAAGTTACCTCAAGACTCTTCAAAGTTTCAACAAAACTATCTGCAGATAACATTCACTGAGACAGGAAAGAATTTAGGCACAAACCAATGTGGAACTGTGTTTGTAGAGAAGTAACTGGCCCAGAAATACAAAGTGCTTCTACCACATGAAAGCCCTGAATGGCAAATGCTAAGCACTGCCAGAGGGGAGATCGTGACTGAACAGGTCCAACTTGCAGGTTTCCCATATGCGACCCTCCTAAGAACAGAATGCTGCACACGGTGGGTCTTCCACCTGATTCTGCAGGGTCTGTCTCCCAGCACCAACTTTACCTCAGTTCGAACTAGATGTGTGAACTCCATATATTCAGAAGGTTTGTGGCTCATGTCTCATATCAAGATGAACCAGCGGGTGGGGCTAGGGCAATGGGTTGGTCCTTACTATTGGGATGAACAAGCAAAAAACGAAGAAAAACACCTGTCGCCTCTCCCCGCACAATACACAGAGCAGAAGTTCCACTCACGAGACCCAGCAGTCTGTGCTGGACTGCAAACAGACATGTGACACGCAACAATCTCATGTCTGCAACAAAAGGTGGAATGGAATCTCCCAACACATGCTGCTGCCAAATGCTGACCGCAGCACAGAAGCACAAGGCCTCCGCTAAGTGTGAGGCTGAAGGGCAACAAGCAGATTAGCATGAGATTTCAAGCAAGTGGGGAGTGCGTGCTTGCAGGTGCGACTTCTTAGGGTGAGGTGGCCTTGGGGGGCACATTCTCTGAGGCCAATTATGCCTGGTATTAGAGGCAGAGCGTGATGGCAGCTTCACCTGGCAGCTTCGCACAGAGGATGAAGCCGATGCCACTCCCAAGTCCCTTTGCTGCCAGCGCTGCTTCCAAGATGGGCTGCTGGTAGCAGAGGGACTCAAGAGCAGTGGTGGCTTCACCCAAGGTATACTTCCAGGTGAAGCCGCCACCGCGCTCTGCCCCTCATACCACAGAGGGAGGAGCAAACTGTATCACCAGAGCGATTCAGCTTGTTTCTCCCTCAGCTTCTTTAAACTGCTCCACAAAGGCTTGGGCAGCAATGTGTTCCTGAGCAGAGCAGTTTGAAGAAGCCCCCACCCCGTCTCCAGCTCACATGAGCCAGAGGCAAGGAGGCAGCTCCATTACACAGCTGAGCGAACCCCAATGCCTTGCACACAAGCCAGAGAGACATCAGGGTTCCCTCAGCTGGGGGGCAGGAGCCTTTGCACCCCCCAGCTGAGCAGTGCAAGGAAGCCCCAGTGAGGAGCCGAGGTTGAGGCAGCCTGCTCCCTCTGCACGCTGAGGATGGATTCCCTCCACCCCCCGTGCCTGGCGCTGGGAACAAGCTGCGTTGTCCCTGGCCTCGCGAAGTGCTGCGGGAAGAGTGGCGGCAGTCACCCAGGGCCTCGCAGGGCTGGGGCCAACACAGCTTGTTGTTTCAACATTGCGGTGTAACCCCAGATTGTGTTCTGAGGCTGGTGACAAATTGTGATTTTGAAAAGCTGACATCACCCAGCCCTAAGGACAATTCCTAGCTATAACTTTTTTTTTTACACAGTTTGCCACTCGCTGCATTTCAGACTCAACAGGCAAGTAGTTGCCTTTGTAATTCCACCTGAATGAGTGGCCTCATGCTTTATGAAGGCTTCATGGATATCTCAATCCAGTTTCTAATTGCCTGATTCCCACATACCCTTGCAGTAGCATCACCACACTCCCTGCAAGGATATGGTGGAGCAGCCAGCCAGCTAGGCTGAATAGGCTCATTTCAAGCCTTTTGCAATGTCACTCATTGTGGTAACCCATGCAGTGGATGTCACTTACTGGGATTTCAGTGGCATTTAAAGTGTAACTCATTTGAAACTGAGATGGCATTACATGAACCAGTCCCACATAGAGAGAATGTCTTCTTTTTACCTTTGTAACAGTTAACATATAAAAATTGGTCACACTGTTCTCATGTGCTCGTTTGATTCGCAATCTGCATTCTTCCTCATCAATTAGCTCACCAACATACTCGTTGACAAATTCACCCTGAAAAGATTAAAAAGAAATGCATGCTGGCAATTTGTGATGCTACTGCAAGGAATAAACACCAAAAATAAATCCCTTGTTAGGAGACAAGCATAGAATCATAGAGTTGGAAGAGACCAGAAGGGCCATCGAGTCCAACCCCCTGCCAAGCAGGAAACACCATCAGAGCACTCCTGACATATGGTTGTCAAGCCTCTGCTTAAAGACCTCCAAAGAAGGAGACTCCACCACACTCCTTGGCAGCAAATTCCACTGTCGAACAGCTCTTACTGTCAGGAAGTTCTTCCTAATGTTTAGGTGGAATCTTCTTTCTTGTAGTTTGGATCCATTGCTCCGTGTCCGCTTCTCTGGAGCAGCAGAAAACAACCTTTCTCCCTCCTCTATATGACATCCTTTTATATAGTTGAACATGGCTATCATATCACCCCTTAACCTCCTCTTCTCCAGGCTAAACATGCCCAGCTCCCTTAGCCATTCCTCATAAGGCATCGTTTCCAGGCCTTTGACCATTTTGGTTGCCCTCCTCTGGACACGTTCCAGTTTGTCAGTGTCCTTCTTGAACTGTGGTGCCCAGAACTGGACACAGTACTCCAGGTGAGGTCTGACCAGAGCAGAATACAGTGGCACTATTACTTCCCTTGATCGAGATGCTATACTCCTATTGATGCAGCCCAGAATTGCATTGGCTTTTTAAGCTGCCGCGTCACACTGTTGGCTCATGTCAAGTTTGTGGTCAAACAAGACTCCTAGATCCTTTTCACATGTACTGCTCTCAAGCCAGGTGTCACCCCATCTTGTATTTGTGCCAGCAGTGTGGTACAGCAGAAAAAGAGATTGAAACTTGAATCATGCACCACTAAAATGAGCTGCGTGGCCTTTGGTAAGATAATCTAAATACAGTCATTTGCAAAAAGGTTACAGTGCCCTCACAGAATAACGCTGAAGAGGTTCATTCAATAAAAATCATTAAGCATTTTGGAAGCATATACACATCTGTGAATTAGCAAGCAATGGGACCACGGAAACCTTTGCAGCGGCTTAAGGCACATATACTTTGTATTAAAGACGGAAGTAGAACTACATTTCCTTCTAACATAATTTTTATGATCCCTCCCAATTCTGTCTCGCTTGAGGCCTTCTAAAACCCAAAGAAATATGCTTCTACTAAATATGCTTAATTAATTTAAAACATTTCTCCCTTTATCAAAAGATTAACAGGAAGTGTACAAAGTGTGAAGAAAAATGAATTCATAGACAAGATATAAATGCAATTTAAAACCAGTAAATAAACAAAATTAAGTAGAATGAGACAAAAAAAAATGTTACAATCCAAACCACTTAAGAGCAAATGAGAACAAAAATCCAACCACAACCTAAAAATTCCTGGGCAAATAGGAAAGCCGTCAAGAAGCTGGCAGTGTCAGCTCCAAGAACAACTGCTTGAGGAAGAAATGCCAAACTTGGGGTGTGACAGCAGAAAGGGCCCTCTTCCAGCGATCGAAGCTCCCGTTGTTCCAGGCGCATTTTGCAACAAGGAATTTCATTAACGCGAGCATTTTCTGAGCTCTGGGTACAGTACAGCGCCTAAGATTTCAGATTAAAACTGCAGAGTGGAAGGAGAGGAGGACCTTTTTCTCCCTTCCCACTTCCAGCTACTCTCTGAAGACTGGAAAAGAGACCCTCTTAAGAACATTAGGGGCGGGCAGGAGAAGCATGGCTTTGTTTTTTGCAGTCTCCAGAGGAGGACTAGACCATGTGAAAATGACTATAAGATTTTAGCTGCAGTTCATTCATTTTCAGCTTTGTATTCTTGTTATAAAAAAGTGCACCTAGACATTCCATTGTTGTGCCCACAACCTGGGTTTAAGATGCCACTTAGCTCCTAGCTTTCCTATCTCAGTTTCTAACACTGCCCTCTACCTTGTAGAAGCCTAATGCAGGCTGCTTGAAACGGGGCCTCTATACATCTTAAGACATTCTAAACTTTATTTGGGGCAGTTTCAGCTGTGCCTGTAGCAGGTAAACCATTTAACTGTTTTTAATATATGTAGCTGCTTCATTATGTTTTTATTGTATTGCTAGAATACTTCCAAGATGTTTCACAGAAAGCAAATCATAAATTAAATAAATACTATTGGTGAGGATTCAATAAAACTTGCATTTTATTTTATAAGAGACTGCTTTTGGCACGTGTGCTGGAAAAATGTAGATAGCTTTTAAAACAGGGTGGGACTCTTGTGCGCCCCCCTTCCTTCATGATGTTGCTGATCTATGGCTCTCCTCATCTTTAGCCCCTGGCCATATTAGCTGCAGCTGATGGAGAGAGCTCAGAAAAGTCAGCTTAGCTACTGTCACTGGGCAACGGGCTCTAGGAAGACCGCTGAAGCCTAAATATTTTATTCATCACATGTGGATTCACAGCCAACCATGGGTGACCAACAGCTTGAGTCAAAAATATTTCCAGTTTTGTTTACTGGAGATATTTTCACTCCAGTCTTTATACAAGTAAGTTGCCAGGGTGGTAAATATGAAAAATCAAAATTAAATCAATAAAGCACCCCCATAAAACAGAGGTGGTGTACTCCAGTCTGACAACATCTCTGAGGCACCACATTGGCTAACCCTGTACTAAAACTGTATTCTTTATGCTTAATCTGAAATTTCATTTCTGCTGATTACAGGTGACACAGGAATAATGGCAGTGTTGCCTGCCAACTGTTTCTTTTGTCATAATAATAAAACTTATTATTAACAGTAAGGTAAAAGTAAAGGGACCCCTGACCATTAGGTCCAGTCGTGACCGACTCTGGGGTTGCAGCGCTCATCTCGCTTTACTGGCCGAGTCATACAGCTTCCAGGTCATGTGGCCAGCATGACTAAGCCGCTTCTGGCGAACCAGAGCAGTGCAAGAAAACACCGTTTACCTTCCCACCGGAGCGGTACCTATTTATCTACTTGCACTTAGGGGTGCTTTTGAACTGCTAGGTGGGCAGGAGCTGGGACCGAGCAACGGGAGCTCACTCCGTCGCGGGGATTCGAACCGCTGACCTTCTGATCGGCAAGTCCTAGGCTCTGTGGTTTAACCCACAGCGCCACCCGCGTCCCATTATTAACAGTAGGGATCCCCAAATATTTGAGTTGTACATTTAAAACCAATCTGACCAACAAGAATTATTTTCACCTACTCTGTCTCAAGAAAGGGACGCGGGTGGCGCTGTGGGTAAAACCTCAATGCTTAGGACTTGCTGATCGTAAGGTCGGCGGTTCGAATCCCCGTGACGGAGTGAGCTCCCGTCGTTCGGTCCCAGCTCCTGCCCACCTAGCAGTTCGAAAGCACCCCTAAGTGCAAGTAGATAAATAGGGACCGCTTTTCTAGCGGGAAGGTAAACAGCGTTTCCGTGTGCGGCGCTGGTGCTGGCTCGCCAGCTGCAGCTTCGTCACGCTGGCCACGTGACCCGGAAGTGTCTTCGGATGGCGCCGGCTCCCAGCCTCTTGAGCGAGATGAGCACGCAACCCTGGAGTCGATCACGACTGGCCCGTACGGGCAGGGGTACCTTTACCTTTACTCTGTCTCAAAGTTTATTTGTATGGGCTACAATGCAAGGGAAGACACACCCCCCCAAAGCAGCCATCTATTTAAACACTCTATAACAGTTCAAAAGCATTCATCCTATATGTTACCTTCTTAATGCTGCGTTTTGTCCTCAGACCCCAGCCGCGCCGGTCCGTTTTTATAATTTCTGCTTCTGGGTAGAGTCTTTTGGTGAAGCACTGGTTCTGGCAGCGCTCTCCTGCAGGGCAAACCTGGGGGTGGCATTCATACTGCAGCATTCGATTCAGACACTCTGACTCCAGGCCACAAGGGTTTTCGTCAGTTGGCTTACAGTTACATCGAGGGATTTCTGACAAGTCTGCAACTTGGATCTGAACTTTCCCTACTACTTTGTTGGACTGTGAAACAGAAAAAGAAGAAAAGATAAAATGTGTAATTCTAACACTTGCATGCAAGCACACACAGAGATTTGGTTCATATATGCATGTACATCATTTGCACTCTCAGAATTTAGTAAACCATGCACCCCCCCCCGGAAAAGTACCAAGTTTGAAATTCCATTTGTGGTTTTCGTATGGCTACTTTTGGGGACAGACTACAGCACAGTGGCAGAGTGCATGCTTTGTATTTAGAAGGTTAAATCCTTGACATTTCCTGTTAAAAATTCAGATAGCTGGTGATGGAAAACCTTTGCCTGTCAAGGGACTTCTGGTTTGCCATGACTCATATCCGGGCACATGTTTGTTCTCTCCAGGGGCAAACCTGATCGCTGTAGGGGACCTGGGGGGCAACGCGGCCCCCAAAGGCTCAGGTGGGTGTCCTGAGACCCTAGAAGCCTCTGTGGTGCTAAAAAGAAAGATTCCCGGTCCACATGTGAGAAGCGAGGCGAGGGGACTAATGTTTTATAAACTAATGTTGGTAGACAAGGAAAAAGCATTTGATAACATCTCCTGGAACTTCATGAAAAGATTAATTAACCAAATGGGTTTTGAAGAAACTCTGCAAAGGAATTGGGGCAATATACTTGGAGCAGCGGGGACGTGGGTGGCGCTGTGGGTTAAACCACAGCGAGATAAACTTATCATAAATAGCAGTATTACATATAGTTGCAATACAAGGAAAGGGACATGGCAGGGGTGCCCTCTGTCCCCACTAATATTTATTTTGATTTTGGAAATATTGAATAGGAAAATAAGTAGTGATGAAAATACAAGAGGAATTGTAGTAGGGGGAAAATCATTTAAATTGAAAGCCTTCACTGACAATTTGATAGTTACGACTGAAAACCCAAAAGAATGCTTACCAAAAGTGCTGGAAATGATTAAAGAATTTGGACAGGTGGTGGGTTTTAAACTCAATAGTAAAAAAACAAAACTGCTGATTAAAAATATGGAAACCCAAGAAAAAGAGGAACTAGAAAGGATTTCCAGATTGACAATTAGTAAGAAAGTACTAGGCAAAAAACAACAACTTATTTTAAGATATTAAGACCTGGAAAGAGATTTTTAAAAAATATGGAGATCTGGAATAGACTTAACTTATCATTATGGGGGAAAATATCCACTATAAAGATGAATGTGCTTCCAAGGATGCTTTTATTCTTTCAATCAATTCCTGTGATCGGGGGAACGGGCTATTTCAAGGAATGGCAGAAGGATTTCTCTAGATTTATATGGCGGGGGGGACCCAGGATTAAACACAAATTGCTGATAGATATAAAGGGGGGGGGGTTTCCCTGCCAGACTTGAAATTATATCACGAAACTGCCAGTGTCTCCTGGATCCGGGAATGGATGATGTTACAAAATACCGATCTGCTCGACTTGGAAGGATTTTATAATCGATACGGATGGCACACCTACTTAGGGTATGATAAAGTCCATAAAGGTTTCTTGAACCATGTCATAAGAAAATCTTTATATTTGGTGTGGTCTAAATATAAAGATCTGCTAGAGCCTAAAAAGCCATGGTGGTTATCACCGGTAGAGGCATTCTCTGTTTAAAAAAAGAATATGAAAGGAAACTGGGCAACTTACAAAGTATTATTGGAAGAGGTAGAAAACCGACTCAAATTAAAAATTTGTTTTGAAGAAATCCAAACGCATTTATCTGACTGGTTACAATATCATCAGCTTAATGAGACATTTAAAATAGATAAAAGGAAAGGTTTTTCTACAGAGCCATGTAGACTCGAGAAAGAACTACAGTGGTACCTCAGGTTACTGAATTCGTTCTGGAGGTCCGTTCTTAACCTGAAACACCACTTTAGCTAATGGGGCCTCCTGCCACCGCTGCGCTGCTGCTGCGCGATTTCTGTTCTCATCCTGAAGCAAAGTTCTTAACCCGAGGTACTATTTCTGGGTTAGCGGAGTCTGTAACCTGAAGCGTCTGTAACCCGAGGTACCACTGTAATTCAAAACAAAGACAAATCACTCTCTAAAATGTATAGACTCCTCCTATACTGGGAAGTCAAAGAGGAGGAAGTTAAATCGGTAATGATCCAATGGGCCAGAGATTTTGGTTATAACATTCTAATGGAAGCCTGGGAAAGATTATGGAGGGAAGACTTGAAGTTTACTGCATGTTATACCCTGAAAGAGAACTTTATGAAAATGCTATACCGGTGGTATTTAACACCATCAAAATTGGTTAAAATGTATAGAACCAGGTCAAGCATTTGTTGCAGATGTAGAGAGGCGGAGAGTATGATGATTCACATGTGGTGGAATATAATGAGCTCAAAAATATGTTTAAAATCTCCTTTGAAAAAAACCCCGAATGTACATATAGACATTCCAAAAAAATTGAGGAAAATCTTGCAACAGTGAATGCAACAGTGGCAGCAAGAATCTTAATAGCCAAAAAATGGAAAGGAGATTCCATTTCGACCAAAATGGACTGTCAGATGAAATTATTGGAATACACAGAATTAGCAAGGATGACAGGAAGAATTAGAGATAATACAGAACAATTGTTTACTAGAGAGTGGGATATTTACAGAGAATATCTTAAAAGAGCATTGTAAAAATATGAATTCTCTGGCTGGCCTAGAATGACCCCAGTATGAACATAGAAAACTTATTAAAACAAAAATTTGGGAGAAGTTTGGAGCGATAATGAAAAGTACGCTACTTAAAAGAAACCTGGGACTCTTGATGGGGTGACTGGAAGTCATAAAAAGAAGTTGTATTGTAAGAAGTTAATAAATTTTTTTGTAATTTGTATCATCCTTTGGTTTTTTTCTTTGTTGACTTTTTTCTTTTTTATAATCAATAAAGCAATTAATAATAATAATAAAAATGAAAACCTCTGCCTGTCACAGCTGCTGCCTGTCAGAATAGACAATCCTGGGCTAGATGGACAAATAGTCTGATTTGATATAATGTCACTTTCTATGTCCTTATGGCACCTCTTTTGCAAGCCTCTGTAAATCTGTACAGGGAACATGCGCTCAGAGAGGCTGGTTACCTGATGTCATCGTAACATTGGGTGATTGACAGTGGGTAGCCCTGCTCACATGTCAAGTCTGGCCCATGAGGAATAGGGCAGATGCAGACCTGGCTGGCCGGGAGAAAAAGGTTTCTCACTGTGGATGTAAAGTGCTCATGTGCTCAACACATCCAACACAAGTAAGAGCAAGAAAAGGGGCTCACCTTAATATGTTTGTATGGAGGTGGCTTTCTTGAGTTCCTTTCAATTTCAAGTGCTTCTTTGCTTTCTCTTTGTGCTTTCAGTTCCTGGAAGCGTTTTGCTGCTTCTTCAAGTGCTGTGTGAAGGAGCCCAAAATGGAGGAAGGAGTTAGTATTAGCAGTTGGTGCAGAGGGAACACTCTACAAATAGCTACACTCTGGAAATCCAGAACAAAACGGTTTTAAGCCATCAGATAATATTTAGAACTTACAAATTTTAAAATCTATTATTTCATTTAATTGATTAACTGCATAAAGGGGTGTGGGGAAGCATACTCTTGTTGTTCATACCCCATTCACAAGATGGCACAAAGAACCAGCCCCCCCCCACCATGTATTTAAGGGAAAGAAACTGCTGCCCAATAATCAGGAACATCTTTTTCATCAAATATTTTTTAACCAGATTTTAAAAAATCAATTAATAGACTAATCAACTAAATGTTGCAGCACTAATATTAATGTTTTATCATTTTACCAAATATGCACATGGATTGCTACCTTCTAGATGGAAAACAATTCCAGAACTGTTGTCGCATATAGTTATAAACATTTAAAACAGTTCTCAGTAGAGTTCAGCTGGAGTTTCACACAGGACACAAAACACAACAACCACAATTTCCATGTGATTAAGTAGTGATGGAGACACAAAAAATGTGGAACATTTTGTCATTAAACCACTAAAAACTGTCTTTTGATTTTACCTTTCTTGAAGGTCTTGTTAATATTAGTTTGCCCCTCAGCAAAGCTTTTGTCTCCTTCAACATAAGGGAATACTCTGCCCTGATGTACCCAATAGTAGTCATGTGAACCAAAGAAAAATACTGGAAAGTCCCCGATATCATGTTTGAGGCCCTGAATGTTGAGAGGAACAGACCTGGGGTTGCAGATCTCAGCTGGCCACCACCTAGAAATAATGGAGTGAGAAAAAAGGAGGGGGTTTTAAGAAAGAAATTCATTAAATAAAAGGCATACTGTCTGTCTTACAGCTCTCAAACAATCTCTCTGCTAATAAATTATGTTCTGCAGGATTATTCCTAGTGTAGGTAACAATCTTAGAAAATTCCTTATACAAGTGAACTCCTCATCACTTAAGAGCTAACCACCCAGCAGTCCAGCTGCACAAGGTCCATTCATTTCAATGAGTTTGTGCAAAAGTGGTATATCCTAGAAGAGAATATGAGCTCTGTAAGCAGAAAACAGACAAGAATAATTCAATTTTGAAAATGTCAATCAACAGTACTAGTCCATAAGACATTTTACTAACCAATTCACATAGCTAGGTCAGAAAAATATGACAACTAGTCAAAAGACAGAGAGAGAACACTACTGAATACTGTTAAAAGTTGCAAAAAGTTTTATTAATCCACAGCACATTTTAAGCCATACAATTCCTTAGAAGAATATTATTTTTAAATGATTGTCTGGAGAACTGGAACTTGGCGACATCAAGTTATGAATGATACATCTTTCTTGCTCTATTCCCATCTCAGGTTTGGGAAGACTCTGGAGATCCTGAACTGTAGCCCAAGATCAACAATGGACTAGATATTTATTTGTACAAGTATATATATACCACATAAAATATTAAGGCAGTGCACAACATTAGGTACTATAAAACAACACAAACCTTTCTTCAAAAGGTTTGCAATTTTTGGATCCTCTTCAATACATCTTTCCTCCTGGATTGTGACCAAGAGTGCCACTGCACAGCTGAGGCCAAGGCAACAATGACACTCTTTCCAGGAGTCACAACTGCTTTATTTATATCCAGCTGAATAATTATAACGGACTCTAAGTGAAGCTGCTCCAAAGACTGTTCAGAAGCTTCAGGGGGTACAAAGAGCAGCAGCAGAGCTGCTGACTAGAACCAGCTACATGGAGATTGTGAGGTCTCTAAATCACCTTCACTGCCTACTGGTTCATTTTGTAGCACAATTCAAAGTCCTAAATGGTTCGGAACCAGGCGGCATCAAGGGCCATTTCCTCTCATACAATTCTGCCTCTTCTTTAAGGATAGCTGGAGACAAAGTTGTCCATCCTGCCACTGTCTGGAGGGTGGCTGGTAGAACCTTAAGAAAGGAACTTGACCTGAATTCAGACTGCCAGACATTATGGAGCTCCTTGAATTCTCTTGGGCCAGGTCTTATTCTCTGAACATAACCTATCTTTCACTCTTGTTGTTTAGTAGTTTAGTCGTGTCCGACTCTTCGTGACTCCATGGACCAGAGCACGCCAGGCACTTCTGTTTTCCACTGCCTCCCGCAGTTTGGTCAAACTCATGCTGGTAGCTTCGAGAACACTCTCCAACCATCTCGTCCTCTGTCATCCCCTTCTTCTTGTGCCCTCCATCTTTCCCAGCATCAGGGTCTTTTCCAGGGAGTCTTCTCTTCTCTTCTCATGAGGTGGCCAAAATCTTGGAGCCTCAGCTTCAGGATCTGTCCTTCCAGTGAGCACTCAGGGCTGATTTCCTTCAGAATGGATAGGTTTGATCTTCTTGCAGTCCATGGGACTCTCAAGAGTCTCCTCCAGCACCATAATTCAAAATCTTTCACTCTTACTGTGAATATAAAAAGAGGGACTGCTGCCTCCCCCAGCTGCACTAAGCTCCGGAGAAGAGGGGAAGAATACAAATATGACGAAAAATAACATCTGCAAAGTATTTTGTACAGGTAACTCACATCTTTTGCTAATTTCACTTATGTGATTGCAGCTTTGCATGCTTGGCCAGAAAATAATGAATTAAATACAAAGTGTGTGGAGTAGGCAGAGAGAAGGGCCAGTGGGTGGTCCAAACAGAATAGTAACCCTCCTACATCCCCCTTCCTCTTCCTTTCTGCAAGGCTGGCTCGGAAACAGTGACTCACACAAATCCTCTCCCTCGGGCTGGGCTCCTCTGCATGGGGTAACCAGAGCCCAGCAGCCCCAGGAAGGAGAACGGGGTGTGGAGAAAGCTGCTAAGAGACCCGCTACTGTAAGCAAACTGGAGGGCATAATAGCTTTCTCCATGCTGGGCTTTCCAGATACAAAGAGAACAGGAAAGACCAGAAAGCAGAGCCAGGGTGGGGTAAAGATGTTCTTTTTTAAAAGAAAGTTTGCGAGTTTGCAGGGATAGAACAGAAAGAGCAGCAGCAGTCAAGGAAGGAGAGGCAGCAGCAGCGGCAGCAGCAAGAAGATGACTGAGGAACGCTGCTGAGGGAAGGAGAAGCGAAGCTGCAAGGAGGCTGCATGAGTACAAGTGGTGTTTCCTGAGACCCCAGTAGGTAAGCTGGAGGGCTACAGCCAGATCTCAGGAGGTGGGAGCAGTTCTAGGGGTTGTGGAAGCTGAAACATAACCCCTGCATAAGATGTGAGTTACCTGTATAGTTTTTAAAAAGAAATCATGATGATGATGATGATAATAATAATAATAATAATAATAATAATAATAATAATAATTATTATTATTATTATTATTTTTATTTATACACCGCCCTCCCCAGCCAAGGCTGGGCTCAGAGCGGCTTACAAGCAATAATAAAAACAAGTTGAATGTGTCAGGACTGGTCGTTGTCCTCTTCAGATCACCACACAAACGCTTCTTGTTCTTTTATAACTTTTTATTGCATATTAACAAAACATTCTTATAAACGGTTCTTAACTATTCTTCCTCAGAGTCACTTCTTTCAGATACCTTCTGAGCTCTGCTTCTCGATGACCAGCCACCTTCAAAATGGCGAAGGTGCCCTTCCCTTCGGTTTCCTGCTCTTTTTCCTACCCTCCTGGCTAGAGCTGGCTTGCATCTCTCCCCTCCTCCGAATCTGAGCTAGAACTGAACCCTGGCCTTTCCTGGGAACAGCCGGTCCCTCCCTCTTGTTCCTGTTAGATTCACTGCTCTCCTTCCCCCCCCTTGGGGAATGCTTTCTCCCTCTGATAAACTGGAAACCTCTAACTCTTCCCTGACAGAATGATTACAACTTAAAAACAAAATTAAAATACAACATTAAAATATTGAAACATTAAAATATTAAAATGTAGCCTCATTGCAGGAGGAGAAGGAAAAGAAAAAGAAAGAGAGGGAGGGAATCAAATTGGCTCCAAGCCAAAGGCCAGGCGGAACAACTCTGTCTTACAGGCCCTGCGGAAAGAAATCAGATCCTGCAGGGCCCTGGTCTCATGAGGCAGAGCGTTCCACCAGGCCAGAGCCAGTGTTGAAAAGGCCCTGGCTCTGTGGTTGAGGCTAATCTGACTTCCTTAGGGCCCGGGACCTCTATGGTGTTGCTATTTATGGACCTTGAGGTCCTCCGTGGGGCATACCGGGAGAGGCGGTCCCGTAGGTACGAGGGTTCTAGGCCATGAAGGGCTTTAAAGGTCAAAAGCAGCACCTTAAATCTGACCCTGTACTCCACCGGGAGCCAGTGCAGCTGGTATAGCACTGGGTGAATATGCTCCCATGGCAAAGACCCCGTGAGGAGCCTCGCTGCAGCATTCTGTACCCGCTGGAGTTTCTGGGTCAGCTTCAAGGGCAGCCCCGCGAAGAGCGAATTACAGTAGTCAAGCCTGGAGGTGACCGTCGCATGGATCACTGTGGCCAGGTCGGGGCGGGAAAGGTAAGGGACCAACTGCTTGATGCGGCGAAGGTGGAAAAATGTCGCCTTGGCTGTTGCTAGAGTAGTAGTAGTAGTAATAATAATAATAATAATAATAGTAATGGGATAACCACAAAGTATTTTGAGTTGGGCTTCACTTGCCTGTAGTTTCCCAGCTTGACCCAAACAATCTGCTTGTACCGTAGCTTCTTGCCCACTTTGCAGTCATTGCAGTTCCAGGAGCCCTCTGGCATCTCGATGTTGAGACATTCCGGGTGGAAGGATGCTGGACATGATTCACAGCACAACAGCTTCCCACCTTTAAACAAACAACATTGCTCAGTTTATAGCTAAAGGCATCGGGCAGGATTCACCGTCTCTCAAGTGCAATATGCCCAGGATTACCAACCCATACAATACAAACGGCAAAACAAAAGGATCAAGTCAAATTTACAATGCTGGATTTAAAAACACATATTCTGTATGTACAAGACTAATTAAAAAAAACACCTCCCAAGCCATGTGATTTGCTAAAGCACATCAACTTTTTATGTTACACAGCCAAATCAGACCTACTTTTGAATATAAAAAAACTATGTGGAAGTTTCCTTTTCTCAGGCAGTCTTAATATTAAGAGATGCCAATATTTCAGATAAATGACTGGTTGTAATATGTTTTAAACCAGCATTGCCATGACTGAATCCCTTAGCAATCAGTTAGTGCATAAAAGTCAGCCTATAGGTTGATCAATTTTTTTCTGCTTCAAAAACGATACAAGAGAAAAATAAATTCTATTATCTCTAAATTGCAAATCTTTGCTGACTCTCCAAAACAAAGGTTTCCTGCACTACGTGGCTTGTGCAGATGTAATAATTCCCTTCTCTAAAGTGCACAGCAGGCTAAACTCCCTTGCGCATCCCTCCCTCCAAACACTTTCCCTGCTTTTCTGCTTTTGGAGCAAACCACACAGTAGGCCTGACATCTGCACCAAGGTTGGCTCTTACTATGGGAAGCTTCAAACCAGTGTGATCAGGGACATCACATCTGCACGAGCTACCTGTATTTTGAAGTAGTTAAATATTTATACTAACGGATGGGGATATTTGCAAGTGGGGACTTGATTTTTGTTCAAATATGTTGCTGATAGCAAACAAGCACTCTTGCAAAGCTGGGGGGGGCCCCTCAAAATTTAGGACACAGCATTAAGCTGCTTTTGTGGGACTTTTTAGTATCTGGAGAAATTTGGATTCATGTTTTCCAAAAGGCTGTCAGAAAATCTTGTCCACCTATAGACTTACAAAGCTGTGATTGCACTGGTTGTTATAGAGCTCAAAAAAGAGTTTGTTAAAACAACAACAAAATAATTACTATATTTCCTCTGCTGTGGATGCAATAAAGCCTAAAATGCTTGATTTCCCTTTCATTTCAAAATCCCACAATTAATTCTAAAAGTGTAAACACCATTTCAGAGGAAATACAGCTCCAATCATTGAAAAAAAATGCCCAAACAAGGTAAAATGTCAAAAAGATGTGAAAACCAAAGCAAACAACCAACAAAACACACACACACACACACACAATTTTCCACTGCTAAGCAGGAAATTGGCTCTTACAATGCATTAGTAAGATTTGCTGAAGCTAAGCATAAAGAGGGCTCAAAATAATTCTGAGTGTCTCAAGTCTCTCAGTGATGGAGACTAGCTTAAGGACAGCAACAAGGTGAGCGAGCTATTAGCAAGGGGAACCAGGTCAACACTCTTTTGGAGAGTTCAAGCACTCAGAAACAATAGAAGCTGTTTTCCAAACTTCACAGACAAAAGCCCTAGTTTGGACAAGGCTCCAACTGTGTACAGCTCACATGCAGTTGAGGAGGCAGGCCCAACCAAAGTCCTCATAGTGAACATTATGGGTTCTTATCCAACTAGCATCTACTTGGAATAGACCCACTGAAATTAACAGACCTCAACTAGCCGTGTTTATTAATTTCAGTGGATCTACTTTGAGTTTGTCTTATGTTGGATGCAACCTCATGTTTTCCTAAGAGCTATATGTGCCAAGTGGAAGTGAAGGCAGGGAACATGGCAGATGACTGGGTAAGCTTCTCCTGTGGATAGATAGGGTCTATACATGCATGGAACCTCTCCAAATTCCTTCAAAACTGGTGTCCTACTCTTGTTCTCATTTGAACTGAAGGACTGTTGCAGAGTTGTCACCTGGCTGGTCTTCTGTCTTGTCTGAGTCTCAAAATTAAACAGCAATTGTGAATCTTCGGAAATTTAAAGAAAGATTACAACTGTGCAAGAGTCATTTCTACATGTGAAGCCCTTAAGAGAATTATTCAGTAGCATCAGGTGACCACATTTTTAAAGCCATCCTTCCTAATCCCAACTGTCTCTTGCTGGAAGGACTAAATTTGCTCTCTTCAAATGTAGTTTCTTAGGAACCCCCATGAGAAGTATGGTTCCAGGGAGAGGTAGAGAAACAAATCAGCTGTGTGTAATATGTCCATTCTGTTATACCACATTAATGAAAATGGATGAGGAGATAAGAACATAAGAACAGCTTTGCTGGATCAGGCCAAAGGTGTGGGTATTATTTATTTCCAGCAGTCCAGCATTCTGTTCTCATGTGGCTAGTGAGATATCTATAAGAATCCCACAAGCAGGACATGAGCACAACCACCCTCTCCTACTCAGGTGTTCAGAGGACACACTGCCTGTCATGCTGGAGGCAATAAATAATCATTGATCGCCTTATCCTCCTTAAGTGGCGACAACTGGTCAGAAGGAATCTTCTGGGAATTAAACCAGCAAAAGCTATCTAGCTGCCTAAGGAAATATCAACAAGCAATTAAAAGGCTGCCTTCTTCCTCATGGAGACTGAATAAGTCGAGCAAAGGCTTCTCAACAGAAAAATGGCAGTTGAGAAATGTGAAAGCCATCCAGGCAGAAATGGCAAGGATTGGTTCAAATACATGGCAGCCCCATACGATCGATGGCTTGGAAAGGGGTCTTGGTGATCTTACAAATCACGGCACCAAAAATCTTCTCCTGGAGTCACTGGCTAACATACTTGCAACCTCTAGGCAATCCCATTCTGGCTGTGAAACAGGTCTGAACGAGGCTCAAATGGGCATTTATCTAATTTAGTGTGGTTAACATGCAACACAAAAACACAACAGATTCTGTCTCACGGCTTTCAGGAAAGTCTATTAGATTTGGTTGGTAAAGTGCAGCTCAGTAACAGAGCGGAATTTAGCAATTATTTTAAGCCCCTTTGTAATATTTTTGCCAACATGAATGCACACTCACAATAAGCAATGAGTGAAGTTTATCAAGCGCAACAAGAAGGTGCTGGATGAGCATAGAGAGCTTGATTTGTTTTTAAAAGCAAACAAAAAGAAAGGAAAAGCAGGAAAGTGAAAGAAAATTAAAAAGAGAAAGAAGCTATTTTGGTTACCTTTCTCACATTTCTTTTTGGAAGCTGACGAAGAAGGAGGAATCATAGGTAATTTCATCAACTCAGCACGATTTGATTCATTCAGTAGGTAGTGGGACTTATTGGCATATGAACTGAACAGGGGGTCTGAATGATCCTGCACTATCAGCCCTATACGAAACAAACAGAAAGAAATGAGTTGCAATGAAGCTACCCATGATTCCATAAGGAGAAAAATAAAATAAAACCAAATTAAACACCTACTATGCATATTTTACTTATGTTTTAAGTATGGAAAGAAAAGTGATGTGATGAGGAAAAAGAAAAAGTGAGAGAGAAAAAGGTTCTATGTCTACGGAGAGGTTGTTATGTTGAATAAGATAGCATCTATGTGCCTAAGTATATAGGATTAAAGATAAGATATAGGTCCAAAATTGTTTTTCACCTGCGCTCTATTTTAACCTGCACACTTGAGAAAACACATCTGTGACTTTCCCTATAACCGATCTACCCTCAAAAAGGAAAGGCAGCTAATTGGGAAACATGCTGCCAATCCCATCAACAGGGGCTAAGAACTTAAGACCACATGTAAGCCACAGCCACGTTAAGAATCACCTAGAGAGGATTCAGAGCTTGGCTGCAACTTCTGCTGCACAATGCAGTCCTGAATCAATGCCCTTCGTAGATGTTGCTTCACGGGAGCAATTTCAGCCTGGTGAAATTGTTAGACTCAACAACATCTGATTGATGTGCCATGTTTATTTGAGTATTCCTTTCCCCAAATCATCATTGGGAAGAATGAGTATGGGGGTTGGATGGTTGTGGTGTAAGGGAGGCATCATGATCAAATAAATGCAGTAAAATGGGGATCAGACATTTCACATGTCATGGTAAACCATCGTGAGCGGTTTGCCATAGAACATGCAGGTGGCTCCTGCTTCACGTCTGCCCTGGCAGGAATGGGAACAGCATTATGTCCAAACCAGGGATCTAACAAACCACCCCTGCGGAGACATGAACAAACCTCAGCCTCAGATCATGGCTTGTCTGGAGTGAAATAAAGCACGACCCCCAGGTTGAAGGTAACCTTGCACAGGGATTGTGATTTGTTGTAGCCACTAGTGAAGCAGCAAAGCACAAGTCATCTGCACATACATAGCAAACCATTCATGTCAAAATGCAGCCATTACTCCCCCCCCAGTACCCCCCCCCCACGGATATATTTTAGAGAGTCTCACCAGATTGAGATTTCTCTCCAGTAAGTTAACACTGGAGCATAGTTTCTTTTAATTTTTACCAGTCTCCAGTGACTAAGGAAAGACCCCAATATATAAAAGGGATGAAAAACAATAAAATGACTTTTCCAGAGACAACTGCAGGACACAAATCATGATTTAATTAAAAGTCTCCTCAACCAAAGCATCCTAGGTTTGGCAACTCTCATGGCAAAGGGGACAGTTTCTCCTGACTTCCAGCTTCAACAGAACTTTTTCTTTCTTTACTTCTTCCTCCTTACACAAATTAAAAGTGTAAAACATACTTATTGATCAGTGCACATCTATGTTGCATGGAATCTACATGCTAGAGAGCACGATCTTTCAAGAAAAAGGGGCCATATACAACTAATTCACTTAGAGCATACCCACTGAAATTAATGGACCTAAGTTACTGAGTAAGAAAAACACTGGATACAGCCCCAAGATTCTAAGCCATCAAGGCTATAAAATTTGTGAATGTGCAAATGCTTCATAGGAAGAAGTCGTCTATTCCTCTGATGACTACAGCAAGGGAGGCAAGCCACGCTAAGTTAAACATTCCACGCATGCCAGTCCCATTTAAAAAGCTTATGTTATGAAGTGCATACTGCAGTCTCAACATTAAATGTTGGTTTCCTACACAAAAATGTACGTATGTTGAGGAGTAACGCACAAACAATTATCATGAGATGTCTGAATTGTATTTGTTCTCAGGGACCCCAGTATTTACTAGAACTGTTATCGGCCAAGCTAGGAGGCAAATCCAGAGAAAGATCAGGAAAAAATCATTATAAACATGATTATAAACCATGCAGCAAAATCAACACTGTAGGCCACTAAAATTCTGGTTAGCTTTACTCCTCCTTTTTGCTAGCAGCAAAGCACCCCAGAATTTTGGGGTTAGCCTTACGTGGAAATGTGGCCAACGTAAACTTTTGTCTTCAAACTACAGAAGGCACACATGATAATCAACAGAACACTTTGGGAATCTTAAAATTTTATTACAAAAGCTAAGAATTCATCCATTTTACTCAGATTTGGGACAAGTCTCCATTTTATACCCTCGCATGGCAAGACTACACTATACTCTCTCAAAGCCTTGCTACACTTCCAAAGTTGTTGTCTCTGAAACACGTGTTCCTAACAGTGACCAATACTTCTCAAAAGTAAATGCAGAATATAGCTGCAATGTACTGAAAGCTATTCTTCAATGCATTTTTAAAAAAAAAATCCTAAACATGCCTACTTAGAAGTAAGCCCTCTTGACTTCAACGTAACTGTGTCTTGGATTACAGCCTTCATTACAGAACCCTCAAGAAGTACATCTCTGTGAAAACCAGATCAACAAGTCAACGTACAAGAAAGTATTTTTTCTCCTTGTTCTTATTATTCAATGTATTACTATTCCACCTTTCTCTCATGTTGGGATTCAAGGCGGATTCCAACATTAAAAAATAGCATCACAAAATATACAGTAATAAAAATTAACTAGTTAAACCCAATAGTTTAAATATATCAAAACACATTTAGAAGTAGCAATTGAAATCCGATGTGCCCTTACATCAGCCCAGTGACCAGCATCGTCTGCAAGAATAGCAAAGAGGGAGCCAGTCTAGCCTCTCCTGAGAGGGAATTCCACAATATGGGACCAGCCACAGATGAAGCTCTATCTCTGGTGCACCCCCCACATGCTTGTGAGGTTGATGGGACTGACAGAATGTCATTAATCAGGGAGCAGGCAGGTTATTAATGTGCCATCCTGTGTGCCTTTGGATCACACAAGAGCCCCATTTAGCCCGCTGTGCTAGTTGGAGCTGATGGGACTCCCATTATTATGTTCACTAAAACACAATACAAAAGGAACATTGGACACTTACCATGAAGGTTCCTTCTGGTTTGGAGTGAAGAAAAACCCAATCAGGTGGGCTGACTCTTACCATCCAGAAAATTAGAGAACATGTGAGCAAACCTTTGCAGTTCAGCCTGGTCATGTAGACTCCTTCTCAGTTCTGCCCTATGGCCAAGCTTGAGGAAGAGTTTGCTGAGAAGTGTAAAGAACTGGAGGACCTGGTGCCAGCCAGAGGCATCAGCAGATGTAACTGTTCAGGAGTGTCTAATAAGTGCTAGAGGTTGGCTGTGGTAGAGTGAGCATTGGATGCCTTGTTCACCCCAAAAGAAGATAAGTGCCCCAAGTTCCTTTCTCAGTTTAGAGTAAAGGAGCATCCGATAGTGTGATGTGTGCAAAAGCTGCCCTGATCACCAGGGAGGGAAACAGAAAATGAACAGTGGCTGAAGTTCAAGCAGAGGGAGAACACGCTAGAGCACTCTCTCCCCCAAAGCCAACTCAGTGGAGGTAAAAATGTTTGGTGAACATGAAGGATTTCCATATGGTTGCCCTGCAAATCTCCATGAGAAGAGCACTGCTAGAAAAAGCAGTGGTCTGATGTTTGCAAGAAAGTTCTGGTTTCTCTCCTGCGAAAAGCACATTAAATTCTTTTTTCTGGGTCTAGAACTGCTCCCATGTGCCATAACCTTCTGGGTGAGTAGAGATGGCTTTTCTGCTTGTTTATAATGAAGCCAAAGTTTTCTGTAAGTCCTGCCATGCTCTGTTCCTGGATAAAGACCCAAAGAGCAGGAGGTGAAAGGATGCTACTGATATCAGTGTCTACCTGTCTGCTGGTATACAAAGCTCAGGAGTTGCCCAAACAGAGAAGATACGGGGATATGAAGGCATGGCCCTGTTAAATCTATGGAGTCCACTTTGTGAATTGCCTCCCTGGTGGTCCTGAGGGACTCCATCCTGAACTTGCAATAAATCCTGACACTGTTTATATATTCCAAGTCCAATATGGACATCCAGTTCCCTCTTTCCTTTGGGTCAACAAAGATGACTGACTAAAGCAGAGAATTATTCCTCTGAGGGAACTGGCTCAATGAACCCTATATCTAACAGATTCTGAATGATGTTATCACCTGTTTCACCTCCGACCAGAAGGCTGGCCATGGTCAAAAACAATCTTTTGGTCTGGACTAAAATTATGTGACTGGGTTTAACACCCAGTTGTCCAATTAGGGTTCCTAGGTGAGGAGAAACAACTTCAATCTTCTTCCCACTGGAGGAAGGCTGGCAGCTCAGCAGGTCTGCCCTAGAATATGTGTCACCATATGGGCTTCAGTTTATATAATCCCTGTAGTGAAATGAGCTTTTACTGAGGTGAAATGAATAATAAGTATATCTAGGCTGTCCCTCTCCTGTTGGGATGCATTTGTCCTTTGTTTCTACAAGGGGTTGCTTGAGTACACATCACCAAAGAGACAAATCCTGTTAAAGGGCACTGATTAAAATGGGAGGTGAACTCCTTCTACCAGAGTAGCAGTGATCGCCTGGTGAAAAATGGCAAAGCATTCAGGGTGGGATCTACAATGAATGCCAAGGCTTTGGCCAGCCTTGTCAATGCTCTATGGAGGATTCTATCATCCAAATCCTTGTTTTGAAGGTTTGCAAGTCAGAGAAATAAAATGATAATTAAAGAATGAAAGTAGAAGTGGCTCTTAAAGCCAGGGCTTAGTCCGAATGAGATTTCTTGACTGCCACATTGGATTTCTTTTCAATAGGCTCTTAATGCAACATTCATTATCCATAGGTAAGACAGCACATGACAACAAGACTGTCCCCAGGGATTTCTAGTTTTTCCATTGGTTGGGAAGAAAGAGTGTAGAACCTGTGAGCTAGTTTAGCAGCCTTTTTGCTCTGTAAGGAGCTAGCCCATTCCAAGTCTACCATCTGAAGAGGAGGAGGAGGAAGAGCACTTCCTTGGAGGCTGACCAGAACTCAGAAAACACCAGTACGCCTCTGGAACTCATTTGAGATGGCTGAGGAGCCAAGGTTGTAAACCAAGTGACAATAAGGCTTTTGCTAATAAAGGCAAAATATCATAATTATGAGTAAGTCTGGTAGTGGATTACCCATCAGTTATGCTGCCAAGTGACCCTTCTCTAGCTCCCTTCTCCAAGCTACTCTGTTGTTGGAAGTCCCCTTGATTAAGAGGGGAGAATGAGGTGCCTGTATGGGAAGCCCTGAGAGGCAACATTCTGCAGGAAGATAGAAAGCCAGCAGATGTGAGTTCAGGCAAATACTGATTAGGTTCCTCTGATAAAGAGTGAACAAGCAGCATGGATTGTTTAGCTGGGGGCTTTTGTCTGGCTTCTAGCTATCCCTCCTGTCTGGGGACTGGGGGAGACAGAAAACTCTGAATGTGCTGGTGCCATTCGAAAGTGTTTTTGAAATCTATCTTCTTTGTTTTAACATTTAATTGGTGAAATCATCAATAACAGCCCCATAAATTCTATGAATAAATTGTTTCTCAGCTAAAAAAAAAAAAGGCTGGAGGTGAAGGACTTAGTAGCCATGGAGGAGGGAGACCCCAAAGACAACATGTGGCATTTGAGCAGTTGTGGTGCATTTTTGAAAAGGCACTGCATTCTGCTAAAGTCAGCTGCAGGCAGCTATGTGAGTTAGCTGCTTGATGCCCTGCCATCCTCTGAAAAGGGACTGCCATATAAATGTTTTTTCCTCATCTGCAGATGACACCTGGTACAAAGATGCAGAGGCTGAGATAATGGTGCTGAGAGCACCCTCCTCCTGCTTTGCTATCCCTTTGCATCAGCTGAGCTGGAGGGCAGGTCAGTCAGTACTCCTCAGAGTCCTCTGTTGTTGTTGTTGGCTGACCTTGAAACTTTGTAGTGACAGTGTCAGGCATGACAGGACCCCAGCAGTTGGCTGCACAAAAGCAGGAAGCAAGCAGAGGAGGAATCTACAAGGCTAGGATGAAAAGTTTGATCACATGTCCTCTGCCTTCCTGGGTGGTAGACGGAATCAACCCACTCTGCATGCTTCTTTGCCCCAAACTAAAAATGTCAACTGTAACAATTTTTTGGCAAAAACCACACTTTCCCTTTTTCTCATTTGCCTTACACTTCAACGACTAATAGCACACCTAATGTTTTTACCTATAGACTAGACAGTCCTAGCAGACAGAGCAATTTGAAACACAACAGACATCGCTGTGCTTTTGAAGAATACTGCTCAACATCAAAACCAGTAAATTTGGGAAGGGAAACAACTTTTACGAAAGAGAGAACAAAATGTACCAGCATCCCCATTCACCCCATGAAAGTTTCCAAGGACAATTGAAACCATGAACCTGAGAAGGCAACGGCCTAGAAAGAACAGTAATCAGAGGTAGGCAACTAGGTACAAAGCAAAGTGTTTGAAGCAAAGTGTTTGAACCCATTCATGGCTGTTGTGCATGTCTAATAAATACACTGTTGTTTGCATCAGCACTCTATTACTGTAGCAACCACAACTCACCCTGCAAACCTTGTCAATAGCCTTCTATCCAACAAAGATTTTCAGAAATAGTGTGCATATATCTTAAAACGTGCAAAGAATTTTCAATTAGGAAGTAGAAATCTACAAGCTATTCCTTCACTGCACAAGTACTGCAACAGAGCAAATTTCACCACTCTGAAGGCCAACTGTAATTTCTCAGAGAAAATGTTTATGTCACCATCTCCAAGACAGAAACTGCTCAAAAAGTGTCGGCATGGTGCCTTGCCTTGGGCACTGGCTCAACCACGTGGACAGTCTCCACACCAGGAGGTTGGCAAATGGTTCTCCAGTGAACTGGGGCAACCCATGAAGATTATGAGCCCCCATGTGAAAGCTTCTCGATGCAACAGCATGTGCAGCATCTTCCCATATTAAGAGGGAAACCTGAGCACTGCAGCGGCTGAGGCACCAAGTCCTATTCTAATGTGGCTGTCTATGCCTTTTGGCTGCTTGAATTCATATGTTTTGTTTTCTTTATTTATAGATTTATTTACATACCACCCCCTTGCAAAACATCAGGGCAGTGTATGGGTACATAAAAATCTTTTGAAAGCAATACAGAACAGTAATTAAAATGACTAGCTACTCAAGAGCATTTAAATTACCAGCTAATTCTCCTTTTGATATAAGAACAAAAGAGCTGCTCCCTCTGTCTGTCCTAAAGTAGAAGTTCAGGAGAATTTACCCAACCCAGACCAGAGAGGTAGGCAGAAATCATAGTGTGATGTAATTAACTTAGGACTGGAGTGTAGGATGACCAAAGTAGCCACCTGCCTTTCTGAACACTAAAAGAGCTGGAATCTAAAAACTACAAGTTTTGGAAAAGCTAGCAACAGCCAACCCATTTAAGAAGTTTTGATCTTGTATATTAGATATTTCTAGCTATTTTAAATTTGATCGCCTATCAGATGTATTTATTTTTTTAAATCATGCTTGTAAATATGAAAGTGAAGTCAATCTTAAAGGTGGAGGGAAAGGTAGCTAAGAAGTAACCCCCAACCCCAACAGGTAAAAGGAAACTGAAGCAAACAACGCTAGAGGTATGTAAATAGTTTGTGCCCACAACTGTGACTCCATTGGCATGAAGACTGCTTAGGACAGTCACAACATGCTGAAAAGGAGTTAGATCCATTCACTCCAGATGTTGGAAATTATTTGGTTTTCTTACTGCTCCAAGGACCCCTGCTCAAGCTCAACACTCTAAAACTTACTGTTTCCCTCTGAGCCTTCAGGCGCCATTCCTCTGGAAAAAATTAAATTTATTTAAAGGGACATGAACTTTGTCTCCTGTTTACCTCCATGCCCTGTGTCAGCATCATTGCCTCTCCTGTATGTAATATATCCCAAGGAGGAAATGAAATAGTTATTTCCACCACATCTGTTTATGTTCTCTGTCTCTGTATGTCTGTCTCTCTCCCCTTCACCTGCCTTTACAAACAACATTCAAAAAAAATTTTAATTGACATCTATTGATGAAACTTTGGGGGATCAAGCAGAAAGAGGTGCATTCTACCAGGCAATGCAGGTATATTCTTCTCATTTCAACAGGGCAAATGTAGTTGCTGTCAGTACCTGTTAGATTCTAGTCCAGGCTTCCTCAACCTTGGCCCTCCAGATGTTTTTGGCCTACAACTTCCATGATCCCTAGCTAACAGGACCAGTGGTCAAGGATGATAGGAATTGTAGTCTCAAAACATGTGGATGGCCGAGGCTGAGGAAGCCTGTTCTAGTCTAAATCACTGCCTGTATCCACTGAATACAATTTAAGAGTCACAGCTCAGTTATTCCCTCTTGCTAGAACTGACTTCCATAATTGCTCATGTGAAATTTACTACCACATTGCTGGTATACTACAATGCACTATACATAAGCTCATTTTACATCTATACAGCTAATCTTGCTGGGTTATCATTGACTAAAACAAGTAAATGACAAAGAACTTACTGTGCAATCCTAGCCATGTTTGTAAAAAGCCCTATTGAATTCAATAGGGCCCAGCAAAGTGTATGCAATTCTAGTCTCCATGCTTTAAATTAGTAAAATTTGTAAAGGCGGATTCAGAACTACTAGAATTAGAGAACAGAAGTCTCTTCCTACTTATATTTAACTTAAAAAGGGGTGTTTCCTCTAACTCATATTTAAAAGTATTTCATGGTTGAAAAGGGACCTTTTTCTAATCTATGAATAACCCACCCACCTGCAGGATCAGTTTTGATTTACATGATGAACTGAACACATTCATGGCTGCCAAAAGTGACTGAAAAAGTCAGTATTAGAATTCCAGCCGCTGGCATCAGGGACTTTGCCACAGGCTCCCCCCACCCCACCCGGAAGCAGAAGGCACCACCTTGGTATCCTTCCTAACGTGTCTAAGAATGGGCACTAGCAGCTAAAAGCCTGTAGAAAATTAATATGCTACATCCAATAGCCAAGGAGGAAACTTGAGAACAAAAATAATTCCCCCAGAGCAGAAGGGGTGGGAGTGGGGGTTCACAGTTCAGTTTTTAACAAAATCAAGGACTGAACACCAAAGATATAAACAGAGGAAGACAAAAAAAACAGAGCTCACCTCTTGCACAAACGAAACAAAAGCCTACATTTACAGCTGATGAAGAGTGATTGCTCCTTTTGGAATGGTTACTACAGATGAGAATGTGGGATGACACAAACAAACTTCCTGCAGCAATACAGCCATCTCCCGAGTGATAGGCAATAGGGCATCTCAAACATCTCACCATGCGACCTGTTTAATATAAAATGCACCATAGGACAGTATGTTTAGAACATGGCTACAGACTTCAAAGTCTGCAACGAAGTTTTGATTTTCATTTGATATACCTAATAATGATGTAACAGTTTTCAAAAAGCAATGACATTTTGCATCCCTGGGGTGCAACTCCACCCACACCCTGGAGAGAACCTGTTTTGGATAATCCTAACATGAGCCGTAAATGGGCACAGCCAAATTCATATTGGGATTATTCCACAGGAGTGCAGAAAAGATATATCACATCATATCATGCTCAGAGGTCAGGTTCCCAAAAACCTCAGCTTCCATAAATAAAGACATTTTTAGTGCTCATGTCTATGAAGACAGCTTGAAACACGTGCTGCAAACTCAGAATCAGAGTAGATTTACTTACACACTTACTTACACACACACACACACCCCTGCAAAGTGAGGCTTTCATGCCCTGATTCTGGCCTTCCCCTCTCCTACATCTAGAAAAACTAGATGGCTGGGTTGTCAACACAGGGAGCAGTGAATACCACCAGTATTTCCCAAAGAATCTCTCTTTCACCTGCACATCAAAAGCATGGTAAAGACCCTTTCTGTCCACATGGCTCCACCACTGCAAGAGTGAGGGCCATTAGCAGAAGAGTCAACCTTTTCATTGCTTTGACTAATCTTGATGAGGCTGAGATTCCCCCCACCCTTTTCAACCGAAAAGAGCCTCAGTACACCAAAGTCTTGAGAGTCCCTATCCGACGTGCCTTTTTGTGGCTGAGAGTTCAAATGCTCTACAACAAGGGTGGGGAACAGAACCTGGCTGATGGGCTGGATCCTCATCTCTATGCCCCCCTCCCCAATGTAAAGTATGATAGGTGGGCACACAGATAATCAGCTGACTGCTGGGACTTACACAACCGTCTGGCACTTACCAAATCCTGGCAATCAGGTGACCATCTCTTGCAAAGGGCTGTGCAGGTGCTGCTGATTAACAGTGTGTGCAAACCCCCTTTGGTGCAGCTGCGCCTTCTCCCGTCCCACACCTGATGACATGTGTAGGTTTGGGGTCATGGCTTGGCCAAGATGGCCCGGTGGGCCTCATTAGGCCCATGAGCTGCAGGTTCCCCAGCCCTGCTCTATAGCTTATCTCAAATGTATTCTAGCTAACTCAGGCCTAATTCAATAAAGGCTGCTAGGAACGCTAATGGATGTTAGGCAGATGTGTTTCTGTACCTCAACCCAATTGAGTAATCCTCCAGCTATCCCTTCTTCTTTAAGTGACAACTCCACTTTTTTGCACGCACAGGGTACACAGATTGTTTTACACAAAAGATATCAATAACCAAGCAAAATATAACGTCACTTCTTTTCACACCCTACTGTACAGGTTTTATGTCTGCTGTACCAAAAGGTCTCTGCAAATTCTGTTAAGTAACTGAAAATAAAATGAAACAAGATTTGCTATACTTGTTGGTGGCCTAATATTTGGCTTCTCTTGTTCACTGCCAACAGCAATGAAAAACAGCCAGAGGCCATCAAGACAGGTTAATACAGTAACTACTTCTCACTCCTTGGATAGAACCAGAACAGAAATATGGCCACCCGAAGTAAGTGCCTGGATGAGTTTCTTGCTGATATGATAACAATCTGAGACTAGCTCAGCATACCGGCATGTCTGGTGCACAAGCAGGAAAACATACAGATATTATAAGTTGCATCAAACATTCTCCGTTCACTAGTGCAAGGAGTCTTACACTGGTGGACGGGTGTTTGAATGTTGCGCAAGAATCCAACACAACAGCTGGGATAGTGAAAACTTGTTACACAACAAGAAAACATTTCACCAGTGAAACAAATATACTGCTAAGTGGCTTTGTGTGGTACTCAACTAAGTTTTACTCAAAACAGACCCACTGAAGTTAATGAGTATGACTAATATGTGCTGATCCACTTTCAGATCTTGGCAATGGGTTCCTCCATCACAAGCCAACTACAGGAATTGGTAGCCTCAATTCAAGGCCACCAACACCATTTTTTATTTATTTAAGATTTCTGACCTGCCCTTCATCACAGCATGAACATCAAGGTATGATACACCAGGCTGCCCTTGCGCCATGGGAGAAGAAAACAGCACATTCTCCAAGGTAATTCAATGACCACAGGGAAGCCTTGTATCAGGATACCTGGGCCAGCGTTATGAGGTTGCCTTAATGGCCGCTATGAAGAGTGTCCCTGGTGCTGCTCTTCCTATTTCCAGGGTCAAGCTAAACAGGCTGAGTGGTAACTGCAGCAGTCTAAGCGCCTTGGGGTTGTTGCTGCAACACATCAGAGAGTCTGCAGTTTCCTGCTCTTCTCCAAAGACAACAAGTAAGAATCTTACCTTTGCTCGCTTTATGAATATCCTTCTCCATGGAGCAGGCAGTACAGCAGTGTTGGGGGCAACGGAATCCTCGGGACTCAAAAACAGCCGTAGCAAACTTGCGGATGCAGACCTCGTGATAAAATTTGCCACAGGCATTGACAGAGCAGCGTTTCACGTCTTTGCCAGGCAGCTTGCAGGAAAAGCACGTATGCTGTCCTTTAGAAAAGAGAAATAAAGAGGACCAGCCTAGGGTAAAACATTCTGAGAGTGTAAAACAAAGCAGCCATGACAGGTAGTAGCTGCCCTAGGTCTCTGTAGACTTCTTCAGACAGCGTGGACAGGAAAGGAAGACAACTGTATATTCCTGCCAGCTTTCTGAGGCTGAGAAAGCTGATCATCAAGACGATTTCCCCCAGTTACTCAGTACGAATAGAAAGTGGGTGGCGAGGGGGGAAGCTGAGTTAATGGACGGTGGCTAGAAAAGAAGGAGCAAATTAGCCAAGATAGTGCCACAGAGCAAGATCCAGGCTGGGAAACCTGAATAGTTTAATGTGCTTTCACACACACACACACACACACACACACAGAGCCAATATATTTGCTAGTGAACCCTCCAGGACAGGAACACAACAGCCAAGCTGAACAAATGGCAAGCAAGAGCCTCCAGAACTCCTACCAGGAGAATTCACAAGGTAGAAGTCATCCCCTCATTTACCATTTTTGCACTCCAGGCAGATGAACTTCCCATCAGGCTGTGAGCTCAATCCTAGGCATTCTGTATGGAAGACCCTGCAGCATTCTCCTTCACAGGACACCAGAGATTCACCAGAACTTTCACAAATCTTAAGAGAAATAATGAATATGTGATCATAACGACCAGAGGTTTTAAATATTCAATGTAAGCAATAAGAGCTAAAGCTAAAAGAGGGGGACACCACACAACCCTGCAAGGTTCCATCACTGTCTAGCACAGGACTCTTCTACAGGTCGTATTTTTTTTGGTATGTCAAGAAGCACTGGTTGAAAAGTACTGGGCTGGTGTGACCAAGATTCTTCAGATGAAGTGGCTGGGCTAGCCAGATGGGAGGAGGCTTGAAGACCAACTGTTGGGGCCCCCAGAAACAGGGAGCAGAGTAAGCCCGTTTCAAGGCCCTGCATTTGAAAGAAACTAGTCCTGCACTGCTGGAATAAGGCAGCCCCACGGTCAGGAGCTTGCAAGGCATGAGGAGCACACCAAGGCAGAGGGCAACCCTCAGAGATCCTTGTGACACCGTTAGTGACCCTGGGCAGACTCCAGAGCAGTAATGATGTCAAGAACCTGGTAACACTACTCTGCTTCAGCTCTACTCCTATCTTTGGGTGAATGTGATCAAACCAATATTTTCTTCACTCTTTTAACAAAAATTTATAAGGCGAAGTATGGTTTCTACTTGAGTACAGAGTCAGTGGCTGGGAATTCTTCCAGACTGACCCAATGCAGAGTCCAACACTGAGGGTTGTAGCCAACGCTAGCTTTACTCAGAGTAAACTCACTGGAATTAGGACAGGACTTTAGTTTCAGTGGGTCTACTGTGAGTAGAACTTAGTTGGCCAAACCCCTGTGATGCTGCTACATATGCAGTGCAGATGTCATTACCTCAGTTAAGTTTGAATCTTTTTTCCAATCCCTACATTCCCTCCTATTTCTAGAGGCCACACTTTCCACTTTATAAAATTTACACAACTTCAAATGCCTCCTATCAGATGGAATGTCAGCATATGACCTGTTTTGCAGCCAATCAACCTCTGATGGGCTGCCACAATACTAACTAAAATAATGCTAACCAGCCTTATAGGACTATTGTAAGGATTACCATATTTTGCGCCCCATAGGGCGCACCGCCCCATAGGATGCACCTAGTTTTTTTGGGGGGGGAATAAAGAAAAAAATGTATCCCCCCCCGGCACGGGGCTGGCGCGGGGGAAGCCCGAGCTTCCCCCATCCCAGCCCCGAGAACAGCCTGCTATCCGCAAGCCTAGGGAGGCCAGCGGTAAGTCGCTAAATTTGAAGGCCAATTATATTCCAATCCACCTATTAGTCCAGGAAATGTGTATCAGTTTGCATCCAAATTCACAAAAACTAAATTCCTCAAACATCCCTACTCTAGATATGACCTATCAGAGGTTATTCTCCCAATTCATGACTTTAAGGCTGCAAGCCTATACTCACTTACCTGGGAGTAAGCATCACTGAACTCAGTAGGACACTTAGTTTTGAGAGGGTGCATGTAGGCATGTGCTTGAAAACTATCACAAATCTGTATTATACATTGTAATAGGTGCAACCCCTAGTGACCTTTGGACAGAGCATTTAAAGGATAGTTTTGTCTCTGTCTAAGATACAACTACCAGGATCAAGGAAACTTAGAATCTTAGACTGTGTTCACATTATATTGTATCCTGCGGTTGCTGTTCCCAAAGATGCCTATTGTGCTTGCCTCTTGGAATTTGCCAGCCTCCCTCAAGACAACCAGTGTTGGACTTGGGAGACCTGGAAGATTCAAATTTGAATCCCCACTCAACCCTAGAGCTCACTGGGTGACCCTGGCCAGTTGCTGCTTCTCAGGCTCACAGAGAATAAAGAGAGAAGGAGGAGAACCACATGTGTCACCCTGAGCTCCTTGCAGGAAAGGTGGGGTATTTTATAGTCTCTCATTGATACAGAGGACAATCTGATGACATGCGAGTGGGAATTGCTTTAGATTGTTAAGGTGTTTTTATTACTGTTATAACAACAGCTACTTTTTTATCATTAGCAGAGTACCGGGATTTTTCAATGAGGTGAGCATTTTGACCTGTTTCCATTCTGTTAAAAATTGTTATGGTTGCTTAATTTTTGTTTCAGCATATGGTTATAACAACTAAATGTTTCCCCCCTAAAAAGGATGTGGATGATGATTACGATAATAATAGCAATAATGTGGAATTTCAGAGTCAGTGCCCTCAAGCTTTGTGGATCTATAGAGGTCTAAAGTAAATGGGAATTCATTATGCACTGAACAGCTGTTATTCAGCTGCATTTTGGCCAGCACTAATGCAAAGTAGCCCCTTTCTGCTTAATTTGCAAGCAAAAAGAGCAGGAAAGAACTTATCCTGGGCACTCAGAGTTATATAGTATCAGAAGCAAGGCTAATCCTTAATTCTGCCAGAGGTACAAATGCAGAGAAAATTAGCTGGAGGTATATTATGGGAAATGCAGTCGAAGGTATGTAACAAGGTTGCGAAGTACAGTGGTACCTCGGGTTACATACGCTTCAGGTTACATACGCTTCAGGTTGCAGACTCCGCTAACCCAGAAATAGTACCTCGGGTTAAGAACTTTGCTTCAGGATGAGAACAGAAATCGTGCTCCGGCGGCACGGCGGCAGTGGGAGGCCCCATTAGCTAAAGTGGTGCTTCAGGTTAAGAACAGTTTCAGGTTAAGAATGGACCTCCAGAACGAATTAAGTTCTTAACCCGAGGTACCACTGTATTTCTTAACGAACGCTTGAATCAGCTAAATAGCTTTCAAGTCCATGCTGGGATTTAAACGTCATGTAGCATGGTGCTGACCTTGTGTTGTACAAAAGGTTTTAGCTGAAAGCAGTGCAGCTCAATCCTGTGCATTTTTACTCTGAAGTAAGTCTCACTTACTCTTGCTCCTCTGAGTGCATGTATAGGATTGCAGCCTTGACCCTGCCACACTTTTTATTTACCTGACATATTGTGTCTCTCTTACTTGTCCCAGAACCTCTTCTTGATAAACTTGAGTCCACGGATTGTACATCAGAAGCATCAGCATCTGCTGCAGCTGAAGGGCTGTCTGACTGTTTTCCAAAGCTACCCTAAAAGAAAAAACCCACAGCCATTTATATTGCCAACTTTTTAAAAGGAATGCTACAAAAGATAAATGCCACTGATTGAAAGAGAAAACCATAATCATATGATAGACATTGAAATTTTCTATGAAATCTTCTCTCTTATTTTAGATCAACCCTATAGTATGTTCTGCCATTTCCAAATTCGTATCAATACAATGTGTAAATGAGGAAAACATCACAGCCTTTGGGGGGGGGACTGCACCAAAATCTGAAATAAGAAAAGTTGAATTGTGTGGCATGGAACTTAGCATCTTATTTTCAATAATTTAGTCTGCCAGTTGGAGGAAGCAAAAGGAGCAAAACTGAGTATTTTCACAACTATAGGGAGGAAAGGAGCAGTAGCTGAGATTCTGAGTAAGTTAATTGTTGTAGCTAGGATGTTTTCTGCATCTTTGAAATATGCAACTCTGTCCATAACACCAATCTACTCCCTACATTTCCCCTTTTCAATGTAAAATGCTCTGACTAATCAAGGAGAAATTATGCACAGTTCACTATAATCAGTTATTTGCCCATTTCAAAGCACATCAAGAAATACAAAACATGTACCTGTGGATCATTAAGACCTCTCGAATCAGAGTCAGATGTATCTCTGTATGCTGAGCTAGTCAGTTCTACATCTGTTGAGGCACGACTCCTTTTCTTTAGAGGCTTACAAGAATCTGAAATCTCACTGGCACCTTGAATACAACATACTGGAATTAATCTTAAAAGATCTCTTAAATGTATTAAAAACTGAAGGAGAAACTAAGGGGCTGGGTAGACACATGCAGAGATAGAACTGACAAGACACTTAGTTTAAAAGCTTTTAAAATTGCAACTAGTCCACTAAGATAACTCCAATTCTTTGAAAGATTGTTGCTCCAACCCATAGATCAGAGGTAGCCCCCAGGGTGCTCTGCAGGACTACATCTCCCCTCATTCCTGACCACTGGTCATGCTGGTTGGACTGGATGAGAGTAGGGAGTCCACAACATCTGGGAGGCACCATGGAGAAGAAGGGAGTAGCAGGGGGTGAGGGTGCTTTGTATAGTGTTTATTTCATTCATCCATAACCTGTCTTTAAATATGAAATATTTTCAAGGCTGCTTACAGTATAAGCACTAAAACAGTAATAAAAACAACAGAAGTTGAATGCTATACAGTACGTAAAGGTCAGGGAAGAGGCAATGATGCTCAACCCTACAAAGCTAAACCCCACAAAACTAAAATTCAAAGCATGCTTTAAAAGGCAGCAAGAAAGGGGGGGGTTGACCATAGTGTTATTTATAGATTTTTTTACCCTATTCTTCAGTAGGCTTTGGGGCAGTTTACACATATCAATGGCATATTGCTGTTATTATAATGATCATTTGTCACCTAGTACAAAATGTCTCAATGACTTGCATGATTTTTTTAAGTGCATCATCAAGTTTAAGAATAAAATAATACCATCCTCCCCTCCAAATAATATTTGCACAGAAACAGCAGTAAGAGTGGTAATCACATTCCCTCAAATGCTTGGAGAAGACAGGCATCTTAACCTGGCACTGAAAGGATGTTCATGTTGGCATCAGAGGCCCTTGCCAGGAGAGAGCATTCCTTAAATGGTGGGGAGGGAGACAACAGAAAGAAGTATTCTGCCTTCTCACCACCCTCCGAACCTCTCTCAGAGGGGCCGGGGAAATGTTGGAACAGACCTATAGCTGTCACAGTGAGCCACCCTGGCAAGGATACTTTTTACACTTTCTGCAAATTGTCTGCTCTTATACACAAAAGGCTGCACCAGAAGCAATTATCACCAGACACATTTTCCAGCTTATATTGAATTGACATCCTTTTGTTCATATGTAGTGTGATAGAGAAGACCAAGGTCATAACTATTTCAATGACAGTTATTGGGGGCAGAGGAGCTGGAAATAATAAGTCTCGTCCCTGCCTTTCCACCTTTCCACAAAGGCTAAAATCCATTACACTGCTTAAGAAAGCCTAAAGAATTTTTAAAAACTCTCTCACCCACCCCATTCCTCTGAAACAAGACCTTCGCACCAAATCAGCTTTCCATGTGACATGCAAGATGAGTGTTTGAGAAACACAAGCCCAAAGGCTTCTGAGGCTCATGGAACCAGTGACAAAGCTCTTTTGATTTAGTTCTTTTTGATCCCTACCTGCCCGCCAAACATTTCCTAGCTCTTGTAGGTCAGTGCAACAGATCCAATGCTACCAGACCTGATTGATCTAGCAGAAGGAGAGACAGGACCACAGGGCCTCTCCATCTACTCTGCTGAGAGACCAGATCCATCAGGCTCATCCCTCAACTGTCATCTATCCACAGCCATCCCATAAGGCACGAGAGAGGGGGGGGGAGGACCTCTCTATGGGATCTGCTGAAAGATCGGCAACTCCTCTCCAAATTGTTCCATTCCAGCCAGTCATTACAAGAACATTCTTCTTTCCATTTTTGTTCCACCCCATCCCTTTTGAGTTTCTGTCTTTTAGATTCTGAGCATTTCTTATATTTGGTTATGTTTTGGCCACTCTAGAAGCCTTTTTCGGCTGAATAGCATGTTAAAAATTCTTTAAATAATAAATAAATATTACCTCCAACATCAGAGGTAGGATGTCTCTGAATATCAGTTGCTGTGGGAATTTTAGATGGGCTTCTGGTCTGATCCAGGTGGGCTCTTATGTTCACTGCATTAACTGTTAATGCAAGAGATTAAGAAGGAGTGTCCCTGCTTTTTCCAAGCTTTTAAAAAGAACTTTAAAAGCATGCTGTTGTCCCTATGCTCAGGGACCTGGTTCATTCCCTTTTTATTTGATCTGGCTACCACTGGGCAGTAGGTGAATGAGCCAGTTGGCAAGCAAACTCTTCTTCTGGCAAGCAATGACTTCAGACCAGGGCAAAGTCTGTGAATCCCAGTCCTATTTTCCTAGTAAGCGCTCCAATAATCTATAAAGTAGCATGGAAAAGGGGGACAAGAAGGACTTGAGGCAATGAAGTACAGTCCTACACTCCATTCAGATGTGCACATTGAAATATGCAAGAGGTGGTTAGGCAGGTGGTTGTTAGATGTGGGACTACAATGCCTACATGGATTACTTACATACACAACATGGAAGGCATAGATGAGTAAAAATGAAATAGGCTGTATACCAAGTTTTGGGTTATAAGCAGCACTACTCACCTTTCTGTAATCCAGTCTTCACTGTTGTCTGTGGGACTGTTTCCACCTGTTTGGACAGGAAAACAAGCAATTAATAGAGGAATTTCCTGTCCCCTAGTATAACAGAGGAAATGAAACTTCAATGCAAGCAATTAGCAAAAGGGAAACTCATGTTGCCATCTCCACCCCCACCCCACCCCAGCCAGTCGTTTCTGATCCACCTCTTATGGAGATAAGTGACGCTGCCTTCTCTGAACTGGGTGATGAGGCGCCTTCCCTGAACTGTGTTGACTTCAAATCATTCACTTTGTGTATTTAGTGATGGAATGGCTTTATCTTTGGTCCAGGCATCAGGAGAGGGGGTTTAGCAGCCACTCCTTGGGCTACAGAAAACCCCTACAATGGCTAAGAAAAGTAAAGAGAAACAGGACACTCTAGTTCCATGTGACGCTTAACTTACTGCCCCGTTTTTTTAAAAAAGGCACTTCTACTCAGCAAGCACTTGAGCTTCTGAGGCCATGGGCTGCTCCTCTGTATAGAGTGCTGCAAAGGCAGAGCGGGCGGAGCAGGAGGCATTGCAGGCCTCTATACAGCAACATCAGCACAGTGCTTGGGCAGGCAGGTTGGCGACCTTGTGAAAGCACTTCATGGCCTCCAGGATCAGAGTCTTGGATCCTACATTGGAAGGCAAGCTTTCTTCCAGAGTACACCCAAGTTGTGAATTTGGTAGTTGCAAGCAGCTGCTTTTGCTAAGATCTTGCTTTTAGGCTAAAATTGCCACTTGGAATAAATAAATAAATAAATAAATAAATAAATAAATAAATAATCTACACAGGTTGGTTATATGTGCATGTAAGAAACACGTCTCATAGATATTTATTAAGGATTATTCTATAATTTTTTAAAAATATTTTATTTCGTTGTACAATGGATAAAAACATACAATAGAAGGATTTGTATAGGATACAATTGATAATACAAATATAAAATCTAAACAATCACTTGTATTTCACTACCACTCACTGCAACAGAATTAACATTGCATCTCTCATTTGTAATTAAAATTCCAGTTATAATTTTAAAACCGAAAGGATGCAGAAAAAATTTGGAAATTCACTGCAACAAAGCTTGACCCTGGGAAACAAATATGGTTGCAGAATCCTAAGGTATCAGGACACCTTTCTCAACATATATCACATCCAAGCTTATGCATTACAGTGCATCTCTGACCATTAAGTTTTGCTGGCCATATGCTCTTCCTGAAAAACATGAGTACAATATACTATGTTGTCTTAATTAGCTACATAGTATAAAGCAAGCAAGACTACTTGGGGAACAATGGCATGTGGTTCTTGTACCATGGTTAATTAAAAATATATAAATTACTACAGCTTCATATTTAAAAAGGGAAACTGCAACAATGGATGCCAAGAGTTATATATGCTATTTCCCAATATTTAATATTCACTTTAGGAAAAAAGTTGCACTGAAGTCATAGTCCTTTAACTTCCACCATTTTGGATATCCAACAAGAGAAATGTTGAACAGGGCAGCAACAGAGTGGATATTTAAATAGAACGGTGATGATGTATTTTCAAGACTTTCAGCTAACCAAGAAATCATGTGCAACACGCTTAAAGTTTATTAGAATTGTAATTGCAAGAAATGTCCCCCCCCAACATTACTTGGCCCTTGCAATAATCGTGTTAGAGAATATTTATTACATAGTGTATATGGTTCAAGGTGGGTTGCCCTTAAATTTAAAATGGGAGCATACTGAAACAGTTGAAACAGTGACAATAACCTTCTTGAAACCTGCAAAATCCATATATCGCATGGGTGGTATGCAACTTGCCTATTCCTCTTCACTTACAAGTGGCTAGTTTCAAAAGCAGTATCCTTAAAAAGGAATGTCCTGTACATGATGGTTCTACTTAAAGGACAAAACAAAATCAACCCATCATGATGCTCTTCCCCTTCTGCTAACATAAAAGGCTATAGCCTTTAAATAATGATTATGCTAATAGTAAATTTTCAAGAGTAACCAAACAAATCCATCTAGCTTTTCTTTGAAAACAAACTAAAACCTCAGTACAAACCAGCAGCTAAACCAAGGGTAAGACAAGAAAGAAGCTGGTAGCATTTCCAGAGAAAACACTGAAACATAAAATCACTATGCTTGTAATAGAAACAGCCAAAGTAAACGTATCAGCTGATGAAGAGGTCACTGTGTTCCCATTTATCCAACGTGTGATTGATGCTGAAAAGGGATATCAGTTAACAGCAATATTTACTGAGGGAGAGGATCTCAGGAGGGGAAGTCCAAAAGCAAACCCAGTGGGGGATTATAGAGGGGCAGGTGGGTAGGTAGAAATAAAAAGGCATCAATATTAAGCCACAGAAAGTATGTATACAGTATATTTTAACTCTCTACATGGAGGAAGCCAACCTGCTCCTTTTTGATCTTCTTCTTTGGCACAACTTCAGTGGATTTCTCAGACTCTGAGCGAGTTCGTATTGATCTTCTCTGTTGCTTCTTTTCTACAGAACCTGAGGGAACAGAATGGTTTCCATTACAGGAGTCTCTCTCTCTCTCTCTCTCTGCTCTCTTTCCTCAATGAGGGATGACGTTCAATAGCAAAGTCCTGATTTCTCTACATTCTTCTTTGAGTGCATAGACTTTAATCTGCCAGCTGGCGTTCTGGCTGCAGGCAATACATCTCAGTGCTTCAGGGAGAGTCCTGAGTTCGGGAAAAGACCAGCTTTAATATGAAGATAAAGGGGAAGTCTAGAATTCAAAGTATTAAGAAGGGGTGACTTTTCATGTTCAGAACCTTTAAAATCAACCAGGAACTTGCTTAAATGTCATAAGTTACCAACCACACCAAGGACACAAATGTTCTGAATTTTATTTTCAAAGTATTTGCCTATGTAGGCAATATTTTGCATGTCTTTAAATGAACATCTTATTCCTCTCTCTGTCTGAATCTAAGAAGGGGATGGAACCCTAAAGCCTCCATATGTTGCTGGACAACAACTTCCCTCTTCCCTGAATGTTGGCCATCAGAAGTGGCTGGTGAGATGCGATGTTCAGCAAAACATGGAACCCACAACTTCCCCAATTCCTGTCCTGCCAGGTTTAGTCGTTGTACAACATATAATATTCTAGTGCAATATTTTGGGCACTTTAGAGTAAGTCAAAGATGAGAAACAAATAACTCTTATGCATTCTCCAAGCATGGGCTGTTCATTCAAGACATGGAACCCAGGCTCAGTATCAATAAGGGCAATTAGGGTATTCAAAGCCATCAAAGAACCTGTGCTGCTCAGCAAATGAAAACCCCAATTCACTCAAAAGGGCTTAAAAATCATTGAGAGCAAAAGTTACATTTAAGAATCCTGGGGAAAACTTTAACAGGCAACAACTTTTGATACCCATCAAGGGACTAAAATAGACAGACTCAAAAGAGATTTATTGTCAGTGCCCAATTTCTAGAAGGAGCTATGCTAGAAGACCAATTGGGGGCCCCAATCAATGATACACAAGAATGGCATCCTGAACCTGCTCAGATGCATCAATTACTTCACATACTCTGGGAAGATCTGTGTCTTCATGATAAGCCAGTTTGTTTTAAAACATGGGTTAGTAGTGAATATGGCTGCCATGGCATGCCCTGCATGGCTTGCTTCTGTGGGTGCTGCGAGAAGCAAAAACAAGGCATGGCATAACTTCTTGTGTCATGTGAATGCAACTCTGATTTGTTTGTTTCAAGCATGCCATGAATGTTAAGCCAGAAACAAGTGAAAAACAAAATTTTAGCTTATTTCTGGCTTAACACTTGTGTTTCTTTTTTAAAAAAACTATGATTCAGGTTTGCAGAACACAAGAAGCCACGCTATCTGAAGGAGGCTATGCTGCAGGATTAATCCATGGTTTAAAACAAATTATGGCTTAGCATGGCATGTGAATCAGCTGTATGAATATGAGGAGACAGGCAGAGCCTCATTTCTAAGCATTTTGAAAGACACATGTGAAAACTTAGAATGTGCTTACCTGTGGATTATCCTCCTATTTGTTCACCAGGCAGTGGTCCATGGCCATTGGGCGCAGAGGCAGCAGAAAGACTGGCTCTAGGGAGGAGCCTCTTAGTCCAAACCCCGCAGAGTCTTTCTTCTAAAAGAACCTGCCTCCTAGTGGACAGAGATCACCCCAAGGTCTGGACCACTGAATGGTGACAAATAGGGAAAATAAAGCATCTTGGAAATGAGTGATATTCAAATACTATAGAATTCTGATGGTGCTGTGACCCTCACAGAATATACCAAAGGGCTCCCCCCCCCTAAACAAACACAGCTGTGTCACATAAGTAAAGAAAAAACCACTGGGAGACCATTTGTTTGCACAATGCAAGTAAAAATGACTAGAAGCATTGTGAGAATACAACTGCACTCCTGCACAACTCCCATTCATTTCAAAGAGGGCATTGGATTGAGTGTACTGAAAATGATTAAGGCCTTATTCAAACGCATCTAAAATACTGAAAATGATTAAGGCCTTATTCAAACTCATCTAAAATTCAAGCTCATCTAAAATACCAGATTCAGATCTGGTGTGCTTCACTGACAAATGCTTAAGACATGACATTAAACATATGATCACATTGGAGTCTGAGTAGGAGTAGGTTGGAGGTTTTTTTCCATTTGTAAAAGGTCAGCCTATGTTTGGTTTACCCATCAGTCCATCTGTTTATGTGGTACACGGCTATTTCCTCCTCTGGCTGGATATGCAGAGGCATTGAGAAATATTTCTTCCCACATAAAGGAACACATACCAGTAGCAGCAAACAAAATGTTTCACATGCATGAGGCCTAAAGTTCAATCACCAATACTTCTAGTTAAAGGTTTTGGCCAGGAGTGTGCACAGGATAAGAACTCTGACCTAGTCAGGGTTGGACTTTACAGAGATAACCAGGTCATTGGTCTGCCTCTGTATTAGGCAATTCCTTGTAACTGCTCCCAGAGCCTTCCAAGTAGTATTAGCCTATATCAAACTCTGAGATGTGTTTTGATAATGCAAGATATTGGCTAAAATTCCTTTCCTGTGTTAGGATAATAATGGGAACATTAAACCAAAATCCGTAAACCCCTATAACTGTATGACTCTAGCCTTTTAAAGATAATTCACAAATACTACTTAAAATTCAAGACCAAATTAAACACAGTAGATTTTCTATTGTGCTAACCTAGACAGAATTAATGGCTAAGAGGGATTTATATATGAATCTGCATCTGCTCCTACAAATAATGTACTAAATAAAAAATGAGATTTTAAACGCACAACTACCGTCCTGTGAAACAGTTTTAGGTTCCAGAATGTGCTATGACATCTAGGAAGTTTGGGGTGGGGAATTCATGGTGCCAATCAGTACCAGAGTGCAAGATGAGCCTAAAAGGAGAAGCATCATGCAATGAAGTACTGGTGTAGCTGACTTGGTGTCTCCACATCTTGTTGCACTACAACTCCCATCATACCTGGCCATGCTGTCTGGGGTTGATGGGAGTTGTAGTCCAACAATGTCTGAAGAGCATCGCCTTAGCTACCCCTAGAATGGTGGATAGTGTGTTAGATTTGGACTTGGGAGGCCAAAGTTCAAATCCCCATAAAGTCAACGTGTGAGCTCAAAGTGTGCCTTGGGTCACTGAGCATCTTTTAACTTAACGAACCTCACAGGGAAAACAAACGGTTTTGCAGCATTGTTTAAAAGACTAACAGATTTATGTCATAAGTGTTTGTGGACTGGAGTACAGTGGTACCTTGGGTTACTAATGCAGCAAACACGGAAGTGTATATTTCCAGGTTTCGCCGCGTACGCATGTACAGAAATGCTCTGTGTGCTTCGCGCATGCGCAGAAATGCTCTATTGCACCGTGCGCAGAAGCGCTGTATCGTGCCGTGCGCATGCACAGAAGCGGCACCTCTTGTTGTGGACTTTTCGGGTTGTGCATGGACTCCTGGAACGAATTAAGTTCGTATCCGGAGGGTCCACTGTACCCAGAAATCAGTTTGTATTTAAGATGCTGCAAGACACATTGCTGTCGTAACAACAAAAACTTATTTATAGCCTGCCCATCTGGTTGGGTTTCCCCAGCCACTCTGGGCGGCTCCCAACAGAATTAAAAGCACAATAAAACATCAAAACAACTACAACATAATACTATGGCTTCCTCCTCTGAATTCCCCTGCTACCTCACAGGGATGTTGTGTATGTAAAAATGGGGAAGTCTTGAGTAAGATTATCAGTCTCTAAGAGACAAACATGTAACAAAATGTTTCCGTCAGTTTTCTGTGCTCTGTAAGTTTAAGAGTTTATGACTAAAATGAGAATTCCTGCATTGCTTAAACTGCTGCAGCATAACGACCTCACAGCCCACCACCCCAAAATAATTTTTCAATGAAGCTTTGCATAATGCATTAGCCAGTTTTACATAGTAAAGTGATACTTCTGACTGCTGTATTCTGAAGACTACCCCAATGGAGGAGGTTTGATTTACTGGATATAACCCAGGAGTTGCAAACTTTACCTACTTGCCAACCCAGAAGATGTTTCAGGAGAGGGTGCACTTTGTGAGGAGGCTCTTTCATTTCGCTGGTTTGAGACAGAAGTGAGTTTGTCTTGCCCCTTGATGATTATTTCAGGTTTGTTTCCTATACCCTGTTATGAATAGAAAAGATCAAGTTAGTAACTACTGAATTAGTCCTTTGGGTTAACTGCTGCATCTATGAAATAAACACTTTCAACTGCTCAGTTATAAACTTTGTATTTAAACTGAATGCCTCCAAAGTGGGAGAATAATCCTATATGCCGCAGAACTGTGCTAAGGGTAGAGAATGTCAAGGCTTTCCCAAAAAATAGTGAGGGAAGTGGGATGTCCAGCAACTCTGCTTTCTCAAATAGCCAACAGCTAGCCAGTTTGTGCAAGATTCTAATCCTCAGAATAGTTTCAGTCCCAGAAGCTGGCACTGCACACAAACTAAGTGGGGGGGGTATGCATGCTACTGGTGCTGCCAAGCGTCTCACAGACTTCACAGTTTTCCTGACCTGACTTTTAGCATTCATCCTAGGAGGCTAGGCTGGGAGTATGAACAGGAAACATCAGAAAGTGTGATGATGTGAAGTGAGAAGGGTTTTTTGTTTTGTTTTTTTAAAGGAGACTGGGCAGAGTACCCCCACAAGTTTACTTTCTCATCTGCTGCTTGTGAGAGCTAGGCCCATAATAACTGCCTTGCAATAAGAGACCAAATATATTATTTCCAGTATATGTTCAATGCCAATCAAATTCCTCTGGAAAACACACACACACAGGGTTCGGTTCTTAGCACCCAATATTCAGCGGATGCCTTTGTGCAGAGGAAGTCAAGAGCCAAACATGTTACATTTTTAAGCAATGTAGTGAACATCCACTTTGCCACACAGGCCCAGTTTAGATGTCACAAACCTAGGGATCAATCATGAACTATAGCTTCATGCACTCCCCTTTCCTCTCGCATGCAAGTTCCTCCTCCACTTCCCTAACCAAAGCTGCCTGTGATGTCAAAATTGGTACATAGTTAACACCTTGCTTCCAAACCATTGTTTAAAATTATGGTTTGAAGTGGATGTGCAAGTCATAATATGTAAAGCAAGTTGCTAACCATACTTGGCCACTTCAGATGCCATGGCAAACTATGATAAAAGAAGGAAAGCAAGTGAAAGAGAAAAATACTAGCATGTTCATCAGTCTCTAAAACCATGGCTTGGCTGATTTGAATTAATGATGTCTGAAGTGGGCCATTGTTTACCAACACCTAATGACAACCTGCAGTCCCAGAATGGAAGAATCATAGAGCTGGAAGGGACCACAATGGTAATCTAGTCCAACCCCCTGCAATACAAGAATCTTTTTCCTCAACATGGGGCTCGAACCCATGACCCTTAGACTAAGAGTCACAAGCTTTACCAATGGAGCTATCCTTCACACAAATCAAATGAAATGAAATTAAGAAAATCTATTGCTATGCCATCTCTCTCTAACTAATCATCAGGAGTCAACAAATTCACTTTATTAGCTTGACAGCAGTGAATAAACTTTCTAATCCGACAAAACAAAATTAGCACAATTTCAGGGATAAAATCCTGCTGCTTTCAAAGTTGGGAGGAGGGAAGTCAGAGAAAAGTACAATCTTTGCCTAGCTAGCAAGATCATCTATAATTTGTGAACACCTACTTGTTAGTTACAAAGCAAAGACACAAGCTAACCCAAAGCAGCCTAAACACTTATTTGATTTTTTAAGACTGTAATATAACAGTAAACAAGCAATTTAAATATCATTACAGAAAATTAATTTAAATTATCTTGATTTTCTGAAACTAGGAAGGATTGGGTCACAGACTTCTTGTTTTGCTGAAGACCACGAGCATATACTGCTTTGGGGGTTTTTGTTTTTTGCGCTGCTGGCAGTGTTTCACAGGGACTGATAGCAGTATAATACTTCACATGTATAAGAGATGATGACAATGATGATGTTATTTTGATTAACATTTACAATTGGGTATGGAAGACGAGCTGCTGATTTACTGGGCATCACCTGCTAGCTCAAACTGAACAACTCTCACAAAAGGTACCTGATTTCACATTACATTTCAGTACAGAAATCAGGCTTAGCAAGCATGGGATAATGAAACTCCCAACATTTTAAGACTAAAGAATTCACCCAAATATTTTACACAAGCTTGCAAAGACCACATTCTGAGACAAAGGTGAGCAGACAAGAATAAACCTTTTAATTCATTGCACATTTATACCCTTTCAATAAATATTTATGTCGTTACCTTGGTAGAGTAAACAAACTGATCAATGAACTTTCCATTCCCAGCAGCATTCTGTAGAGCAAACACTTGTTCAATTTTAACAACTGGAGACATATTACATTTCTGAAGGTCCAAAGTTCCCTGGTGCATGGTGATGGATGCTGGCAAGGATTTTCTGGCTGCAGCCGTTTTCCATGCTATTTTAACAGGAGGGGGCTCTTCATCCACACTTGACTGCCTTCTCTGACTATTCCTCTGGACTTCAGTATTGGATGGAGAGGACACGGCCAACACCTCACTGGTGTGTTCTGGCTGTGCATTAGGCGATGGTTTAGACCTACGGGTTTTCTTCACCTCTGTCTTCGGCGCACCAGTCCTCTTGGCTTTTGACAAAGCCTCTTCTGGCTCTTTATCTATATAGATGAAGGTATATTGCTCCGTCCTCTCTTCTCGAGTCATTTTCAGTGCTTCCTCAGCATGAGCAATGCCAATATCCCATTGTGCACGTTCTCTCTGTGGCCTTGGTTTGCGAATCTTTAAAATAAAGGAGATAGCATTATTGCATTTACTCATCTTCACCTACAAAGCATGCCTAATTGCTGTTGTTTTGTTTGTTACAACTGAATCCGTCAGTGCTAACAGGATAGCACGAAGTGGGAAACATTAGAAGGAAATGTTCATAACTACAAGCATCTAAAGTATTCAGACCTCAAAATACCCATTGTGCCCCTCTCATACTAGTGGACTGACCCAAGTACCCAGAACTCCCTATACTTTTGATAACATCCCTGATTGGAAACATATGTACACCAATATATTAGATAAAACTATAAATCAGTGTTGCTGCTGAATAGGGTAGGCAGCATGACTTTTCAAAACTTAAGTTTAAGGAATAGTCTGGGAAGGCTGAATCTAGGCTGTACCTACAATGAGGTACAAAGGCTGTACCTTTAAACCATCCCCACACCATCCTGCTAAATCTCCTCCCTGACATACCCAAATCACAACTGCCTTCATTAAATTATTATGAAATTACTCCAGCCAGCAGACAGATGGAATGTGCATCCATATGGCTTTTAATTTTTAAAAAGCTACATATGGAATGTGCACCAGTAAAATTAACTTTAAAGGAAACAGCAAATGTTGTAGAGTTTTTAATGGTACTTTGTATGTAATACAATACAAATGGCAAACTATGTATGTTGAGCCACAGCTGATGTAGGGCTTGAGAACAGGGGAGCCAGGGCTGACCATCACCATATCCATGTCTTCCTATTTCCTTTGCCTTAAGGGCTGCTGGCACTATTCCTGGCTATTGTTCCCTGAGACAGCAAGGCCATGGAGCAATTTGCAAGCCCTGTAAAAAACTGGCTGCCAAGGCATAAACAGGAAAACAACATCAATCTGAATCTGTCCCAACAATTATCCTCTCACCCCACTGGTAAAATAAACTGTTGTCATTTCAGACTGTACACACCTTCTGTTTTTCAGAGTGGTTGGCTTGCTTAGCAGCCTCTGCCACCAACTGATCGTACTGTTTACGTCCTTTGTACTCTCGCACCCGCTTCTCATGCACCCATGCTCTCTCAGGCTGGTTGCTAAAGAACTGGACATGATATTCCCGTGCACCTGAAATTGAAAGAAAGCATTCTGCTGAGAAATTCCATCAACACAAATCTCCCATCACTTTCTAGAAAAATATCCTCCACACCATTTTTTAAGCTGCACAGAAAATAATGGATAGTTGGTGAGAGGCCAAGCTGGAAGTATACCCCCAGCATGACTCAAGAGCAGCCCACTCTCTCAGAGACTGCATCAGGTGAACTCCAGCAACAACCAAGGCGAGTGTCTTGCGGGGCTATGGGAGGGGCCAGGTGGAAGCCCTCAGCTCTTGCTTTCCTGGCATCCTGGCAAATGTCCAGACAGCACTTCACCAGAGAAGAGACCTTGGCAGTACATTGCTTATCAGCCTGTGGGCCAATCAGCCTGATAAGGGCCAGCTGTTTTCAGCCTTCTCCACCTCCTACTTCTCATGGGATCTGCAGAAGGTAAAACCCAGCAACAGCCAAGGAAAGCCAAGGCCGATAAGTTGCTGGGCAACAAGGGGTGGGCAGGGAGAAGCTACCAAACACCCCCATCCCCTCTTCCTCTCCTTAACTCCTGACAAAATGTCTTGACAGAATTTCTCTTGTGGGCCGAACTTGACACAACATTAATTATGTGAATGTTATCAACGTGTATTTTCATTGTGTGGACAGCCACAGAAAAATCTTACGTCTTGGGACATGAGGTTGGTGGTAGGGAAGGGATGTTGAAACTGCTTTTTGACTTCAAAGGAAGATCACATCAGTGCCAAAGGGGTCCATCCTTGAAATGCAAATAGCTGCTTCAGAGAGGTTAATTTTAGAAGCTTCCCCACGACTGTTAAGAACATGTAAGAATACCTTGCTGGATCAGGCCAATAGCCCATCTAGTCCAGCATCCTGTTCTCACAGTAGCTGAACAGTTTGCCTGTAGGAAACCAGCAAGCGGAATTAAAGCACAAGAGCCCTTTCCCCCTCCCGTGGTATCCAGAAACTAGTATGATTTACATAACCAACATGTCCATTAAAAAGTGAGCCTTCAGGGAATGATCTGTGGGGTCCTTCAACTCCCCTGGATCCAAGGAAAAATGTGAGACCATCCCCCAAAACTGTTTACAAAGCTATGCAAGGAGCAAAAAGGCTCTACAGTCAGATACAATTCACTAAGGACACTTAAGCAAACCACTTACTTTCAGCCACAGGTCTTCAGTCTACAATTTGAGAATAATAATACAGATCCAACTCTGAGTTGTGGCAAGAAAGGTAAGTATATTTGGGCTTTTAAAATGCAATAGCCAGGCCATAGAGCATGCCTAAAACTGGAATATGCTTTAAGTCAGATATCACCAAATCAATCCCCTCACAAATAGGCCAGGGTCCATAAGAAAGTTGGCACCTCCTGGCTTTAAGAGCTTCACAGCTATGTAGCTCAGGAAGAAAATTGCACAGTAGTAATCAGTTGCATATGAAATCTAAGAGAGCTACAGTAAAGTACAGGATATTTGTCAATTCCACCCTCCTACCCCTCTCCTAATGGAATGGTGTGCAATCCTTCTATCATCTAAAATTTGGAAAGACCTCAGGAGCCACAGCTTCAGAGGCTACAAGTTGCCCATCCCCACTTTGTGCAGTTGTCTTTACTGTGCTACATGCAAAAACTAGTCCTGCGTGGTCTGAAAACTCATGAAGCAGCCACCTTGCTGAAGCTAAGCAGCTGAGAGTGCAGCTGGCACCTGGATAGGAGACTTCCTGAATTCACCAGCTTGGGGGCAACCACAGGTGCAAAGGTGCCACTTCTCAAGACCTTGTCTATGGCCCTCAGCCATAGGAGACTGTGGAAGGAAATTTATGGGGAACTGTGAGGGGTGAGAGCCCACAATAATGGGTGGGCAAAATGCCCTTCTGAATGAGAGCCTGGCTGGGAATGCCAGCACTAGCCCAGGTGTGAGACGTGATGGAGACCTTTGGGGTTTGAAAATTGAGTCTGGGAAGCAAACCACTGGATACAAAGGCACCATCTGAAATATGGGATACTTTATATGCTACTATTCGATTTTTGTTCTGTTTAAGATTGTTCTGTTAAGTTTATTTAATTAGGCTTGCTTTTTTGTTTGTTTTATGCAATTTTTATAGTTCAAGCTTTTAAATTGGATTAACCTATTTGCATTGCTTTTATATATTGTTATAGGGAATGACTTTTTGTACTTATTATGATAAATCTGAATTGTTTCTAATATGTTTCTGAATTGTTGTATTGTTCATTTGATATGCTACAAGCACAATTTTGTGGAGAAGTAGCAAATAAACAGATGGTGATTAAGGCCCACATATGCCACCCTGAGTTCCATAAATGGAAGAAATGTAGGCTATAAATATACAGTGGTACCTTGGGTTACATACGCTTCAGGTTACATACGCTTCAGGTTACAGACTCTGCTAACCTAGAAATAGTACCTCGGGTTAAGAACTTTGCTTCAGAAATCTCGTGGCAGCGGGAGGCCCCATTAGCTAAAGTGGTGCTTCAGGTTAAGAACAGTTTCAGGTTAAGAACGGACCTCCAGAATGAATTAAGTTCTTAACCTGAGGTACCACTGTACTTAAATACTAAGACAATGTATACAAAGTGATCTGAGCAATATACCGTATTTTTCGCCCTATAAGACGCACTTTTTCCCCTCAAAAAATGAAGGGGAAATGTGTGTGCCGTCCTATGGGGCGAATGCAGGCTTTCGCTGAAGCCTGGAGAGCGAGAGGTGTCGGTGCGCAGCCGTGCGGGGCTCTGGAGGGTGGCGCGGAGCTGCCTGAGCTCCAGGGCTTCCTGCAGCTCCGCGCAACCCTCTGGATCCCGGCGCGAAGCCGCGCGGGGCTGCGGAGGGTGGCGCGGAGCTGCCTGCGCTCCAGGGCTTCTTGCAGCTCTGCGCCACCCTCCGGATCCCGGCGCGAAGCCGCGCGGGGCTCCGGAGGGTGGCGCGGAGCTGCCTGGGCTCCAGGGCTTCTTGCAGCTCCGCACCACCCTCTGGATCCCGGCGCGAAGCCGTGCGGGGCTCCGGAGGGTAGCGCAGAGCTGCCTGCATCCCGAAGCCTGGTGCGCGCTGAAGAGCGCCCCATGGCTTCGCGCACCTCTCCACAAGCCTGGGGAGACAAGTGCGGCTCCCTAGGCTTGCGGATATCAGGCTGTTCTGGGGGCTGGGGTCGGGGGAAGCTCGGGCTTCCCCCGCGCCTGGGGAGGGGAAAATTTTTTTTTCTTTATTTCCCCCCCCCCCCAAAAAAAATTAGGTGCGTCCTATGGTGCGGTGCGTCCTATGGGGCGAAAAATACGGTACTACAGGCATGCATGTATAATTAATAATTATCACTAATGTATTATCATATTCTTTGCATCATCTGCAGCCAATCTCATTCCTATACAGCCAATAGAATCATCAAATTGTAGAGCTGGAAGGGACCTTGAGGGTCATCTAGTCCAGCTCCCTGCAATGCAAGAATCTCAGCCCATCTGAGGTCTCCCATCCAATTTGAAACCATACGGGACCCTGCATAGCTTTGAACATGGGCTAGCAGTTTCATTGCAGTACCACTTGAACAATAAGGCAATCATTCAGATATGCTACTCAAATCCTCCTGGGTTTGTATAACACTAACTTCTACTCAGAGAAGCCCCATGTGTGTAAATTTCAACATGTCTACTCTGAGTAGGACTAGCACTGAAAACAACCTATACATTTTTAAATCTGAGTTTAAGAGAAGCCCTAACAAAGTAATCAAGTGCATTAGCAATTCCAAACAAGTTTCTAACAAACCTACTAAGTTTTAGTTACTTACCTCTTGTGTTAATTTTGGTATGAACCTCAAGTTGTGGATCACTTGAAACCATGCAAGGCCACCAAGGATATGTTCCCACTTTGGACCAGACCAGATCTCCAACCTCAAACTTGATATCGCTTGCTACTTGTGTTGGAAGAGGAGGAGAGATTTGCTGGACCTGAACAAAAAAGGAAAAGTTGTGTACCAGATATTCTGTACATATATCAAATACTACCAAACATGTGAATGAACAGACCTTTTACAAGAACACCCCAGCAAAAATATACATGACAATCTCTCTCCCTGCCCCCACTAGTGTAGGTGCAAGAAAAGCAGAGTATATCAAACTCTGTGGCGTTGTCCTCATTCTCCTTTAGTAGAGCTACAGTCTTTAAACAATTCTTCAGTTAGATTCATCATTCTAAAGCCACTGAAAGTAACTTATACTGCAAAACTCACCATGTCTACACTGAAGTCCTACTGAATTAGGACTGAAGCTGAAAAAGGTACCCACACTTATTTGACCACTGTGTGCAGTGAAGAGAGACAACCTCTTCTAAGATGGTGCAGAAGTGATATATACGTGTACCATATAAGAACACATGTTGGTCTTCCATTCTTTCTCCTGCCTTGCACCCTTTTGAGAAACACTACTCCATTTTCACCCAGGCTTACCTGTTCCACACCCTACCCAAATAGGGTGTCTGTGTCCTGCAGGCTACCCATGCATCTGGCAATGAAGCCCTTTATCTGAATGCAGATTTATTTTTTTATTACAATTTATATACCACCTTTTCTTTCAAGAAGCTCCAGATGGTGTACTTGGTTCTTCTCTGCCACCCATGTTATCCTCACAACAACCCTGTGAGGTAGGTTAGGCTGAGAAATGGTATTTAGCTCAAGGTCACCCTGTGAGCTTCACAGCTGAGTGGGGTCTCCCCGGTCACAGTCCAACACTCTAACCCAGGCTTCCACAATCGCCAGATATTGTGGACTACAACTCCCATAATCCACAGCCAGCAGGGGCAGCAGTCAGGGGTGATGGGAGTGGCAATCCAACAACACCTGGGAACCCAAGGTTGAGAAAGGCTACTCCAACCCCTACATCGTACTGGATCAGCTTGAAAATTCTGCAGTCAGAACTCTAGAGGATTTGACTCTACTCACCAGGGTTTCATCCATCAGCTTAGTTTCTTCCCTTGGTCTTTCAGACAGTGTGCTCAGCCTTTCATTTGGTCTCTGTGAACAAAGGCAAACAAAAAGATAAGAGTCAAAATGGAACAACAATGAAGAAGATGGAAAGGGGAAAAAATACAGGAGAAACAAAATCAGAAGAGTCTGTGTCACATCCTCAGTAGTGATGTCCCAGTTTATTTTAGAATTCAGTTTAAGCCACAGTCTCCTAACTGCTCTGGAGATCTACATTAATAAGACACAGGTCAGAGAAGTACAGGAAAAGAGAGGCAGGACAACTGATATGCCATTTATATTTTTGAACTGTTATATGCAAGTTTGTTGACAATTAAAACAAAAAAGGTTCTCTTTTGGACAACACACTTTTATACATACTAACCTCAAAGAGAGGTTATTTCACTGTCAGTGGCAATGAAGTCCATTGAAGCACACAGAGAAGTGAACCGCATGCATGATGTAAGCCAACCACGAGGGGAGGGGGACTGAGGTAAATTCAAAATTTCCTAAGGCAGTTACCTTCTAAACAAGGTTGCTAACTGTATTTGGATTTAAATTAAGTATGTTCAGTCTTTAGAACTATCACATCTTGAACCAGAAATCCAATTTAATGTGGCCAGACTTGACAACCTTCTTGCAAGTTCAACAAACAATTACTTGAACTTAAGAGATAGGAAAGCATCCTTACAATTCAACATATCCAGAGCATTCTGTTGCAAATGAAAAACTCGTTGGCAGACAGGCAGTTCAGCTAAAATTTTAAGAACTATTTTGCCAATGGGAAGTTTACTATGATTGTGATACAGCTTCTCGATTATGTTTTCAGCTACGTTTGGCAGCACTGTACAAATTGCACACACAATTACAGCGTTCAACCCAAGTGTATTTTGAAGCACTCTATGTACAATCAATTTTCTTCCTGATGCTACAGAGGAATAGGCCCACAGAGGAACAGGCCCCCTTTACCTTTCTCTTCCCAATAAACACACAACATACAACCAACGGCAATATCAGCTTCATCTAAACTCACAGCCTGTTTCCAGGATGAAAGGCCATTGTGATTAGATATGAAGAGGTCCTATGAAACCCCTTTAAAGGTATTTGTAGAGTACAATGGAGTATCAATAAACATGGATTAGCAGCAGAGCAGGACATAAATTTAGAAATATGAATAGGGAAAGAGGCAATTGAGGCCAACTCAGTCTAATGTTACTGGAGATGGAAAGGTAAATTGCAAGCTTTTGAAAATTTATTTTTCTGGCTGAATTTCTCTGTCTACACTGTGTTGAAATGTATTGTCACCTTGTTTCCATGGGGTTGTGTAATCTCAGGCAGGCCAAATTGCTTGCCCAAGAATCACAGTGCCTGTATAAACCTTTGTTCTTGTTATTAAATTAAGAAAACTTGGTGAGGCTTAGTTACCACTAGCTTGGGTTCATGCAAATGATAATAATAAAGTCAGCAGAAGAGATTATTCACCATCAGTAATAATACTGTTCCGTATTTACATGGAACAAATTGCTTAAAATCTACGATCTACCTTGACAACATCTTAGAATTCTACTGTAGCTTGGCAAGAGCCATATGCCAACCTGATCTAAGCTATGAACATATAATTCCCAGTTTATACCAATACTCACTTTTATTTCATAGTAAACAATTTTTAGAGCACCTTAACAAAAATAAAGCTTGATGTTTCTCTAACTCAAGCAGGGATGGGAACCCTTAAGCCTGGCAGCTTCTCTTTCTGGCCTTTCAGAATCTCTCCTGCCACACTTCCATCCTAGGAACAGCCCCTCTCGCTGGGCCATGCCCCACACCCGCTTGGTTCTGCACCCTTCATGAATGCCTAGGATTGGCTGGAATGTGTCCTTGTGCTCCGATAATGTCTCTAGGCTACCTGGATGGAGGATAGAGGGGTGTGTGAGAGTGTGAGCAGAAACTAGTCTGCTGCAGAAAGGTAAAATTTACATTCACTGCTCCACCAATTTTTGCCTCTGGCCCCACCCAGCACTGAAAAATGGCCCCAGAAAAAGTAGCCCTTGAGTTGAAAAAGGTTCCCCACTCATGAACCCAGGTTCTCCTCCCCATGAGTTGCCTTAGTCTTGATCCTCTTTAAAAACTTTCCAGCTTTCCCTGAAGAAGTAACACTTTAGCAGTGAACATATTAAGACTGAAGGGAAGGAACTAAGTGACTCAGATATCCTACTGGAGAAGAAGTGAACCTTATAAAGGAGCTATGAGAATGTCTTCTCTCTACAGACTGCAGGGCTAACTAAGCTGTTAATTTAACTGTCCTGAAACTGGCTTGACTGCCACAGCCCATGGGGGGGGGGATACTATAAATTCTGTATACTTTGAATTTTCAAAAAAACTCTGTAATTTAATCATCATTTTGTTCTACTATGGGCTCCAAAGAAATGTGCTCCAAAGAACTGTGATGCTGAAGAGACTTTAGATGTGGTTTTCTCCAAACAGCAACCACCCAAGTCAAATTACTTCTAAAACGCAGGGGATTTCAAGTTTTGCTTTGTACCATGGCACTGTGGGGTGTCTGTGTTTGTCAACTGTTTGAAAAGGAAAAAGCAAGGATTACATTGGGCCAGTGTAGGCAGCTCTTTGGAGCCTACTGCAGTTTTCTTTAATTAACAGAGAACCAAGGCTCTGGTCAAGGCCAGCCTAACCTCCCTGTGGCCCGGGACCTCCAAGATGCTTTTGTTTGAAGACCGGCCCATGAGCCGCCCCTGAACCAAGCCGCCCACTCGGTGAGTCCCCGTGTGCTGTGCTAAACTGGCACAGCATGGCGCGGGGACTTGCTTCCGCGGCGCCGGAAATTGCATCTGCCCAGATGCCGGAAATCGCAGGCGCGTGCACGCTACCCGGTCCAACGAGGGATCTCAGCTGGACTGAACTGGCCAAGGCGAGGTAAACCTTGCTGACCCCTGCTCTATATGCATAACTATATTATCATTATTAGTTACATTTCTATCCTGCCCTTCCACCCAAAGGAGTCCATGGTGGCAAACTTCAAAAAGTTAAAACAATACAATTTAAAATAAAATAAAAACTTATTTAAAACATTTCACAACAATTTAAAAACCATCTAAAAGCAGTTACATACCCTCATAATTACGAATTTCAAAGTTGTAATGGCCAATATCTTTCAGCCATCAATTACCTGGGTGTTTTTAAATTTCTTCTTAAAGTCAATAAATATTACAGACACATCTCACCAGGAAGGGCATTCCACAAATGGGGAATGAACACTGAGAAGGTCCTGTCACAGGTCAACACTAACTGGGCAACAGCTGGTGGTGGCAAACATGGTTCGCCAACTATGTGTACCACAAGTCCATTTTACAGTACAGTGGTCCCTTGGTTTACAAACTTAAACCGTTCCAAAAGTCTGTTCTTAAACCGAAACCGTTCTTAAACCAAGGTGTGCTTTCCCTAATGAGGCCTGCCACCCATCCACCATTCAGATTCTGTTCTTAGACTGAGGTAAAGTTCTCAAACCAGGACACTATTTCCGGCTTAGCGGAATTTGTAAACCGAATTGTTCTTAAACCGGACAGTTCTTAAACCGAGGTACCACTGTATAAGAATGCCTTTCCAGTCCAAACTACAGCTCCTATACAGTTCAGCCCCTCCCCACCCATGCCTTGGGCCGGTTTTTCCTTTCATCTTCTGAGCTAAGGAGCAGGCCTGACTATGGGAAAGCCAGAAGTGCACCTGCTGCAGTCCAAAGGTGCCAGACTTGTGGCTTTGGTGCTTCAGGTTGGCCATTCATGGATTTGTGCATCAAAATGAAAAGCTGGAGCCCTGAAGTCAAGCCCACCAAACAAGTAGCTTAGCTGCAAAACTCTATACATACTCACCTGAGAACATGTCACAATAAATACAATAGGAGTTGTGAGTAAACATGCATGGCATCACACTACAGAATAGAAAAAAAGCTTTGAATTGCTCCAAAATCCCCCTTGCCTTCTCCTTCACTCCACTGAATCTTACAGAATATTATTCTAATGCCCTTGGCACAGAAGATTATATTTACTACTTCCTGCATTAAAGCCAGCAATTCTTATCACATGCAACAAGTATAAATTAACTGTGTTAATTATATAGAAGGAAATAAATTTACAATATTAGAAGAGGCTTCCTTTATACAGAGCTACCCCATGTATGTACAGTTAAAAAATTAATTAACACAAGAAGAAAGAGAAGGCAAGGAATGGTTGTTAAGAGACAGAAAGCTTGAAGTGATTTATAATACTGAATCTAAAAATACCAAACTTTTCTTAAAGAAAAAGTTTGATGCAGCTTTAGGAGAGTCATTCCCTCAGTAACAATAAAATCACTGAAAGAAAAATTATGTCACTGATCAGGATAATTTTACTCTGTCAGGATGTCAAGCTTCTGACAAATCATTATGAGAATTTGCATACTTTACGCAAAGAAAATCCAAATTCTGTTTTTGCAATAAAGAGCAATCCACCAAGATAAAAAATAATTTAAAAATGAGAGATCCATAATGGTGAACTGTTCAGGAAAGAAAACCACTAATCAATCTTAACTGTGCTGCCTAACTGTAGATGCTTTGATAATCTTTCAACATGTAAACAAAAACAAAGAAAATAAAAGCAGTGTTGGAGGAAAAGGCTAAAATTCAGTTTTCACTTACATTTTGTTCCTCTTGCTCCAGTTTTGGAATTTTATGTGATTTGCGCTCTTCTGAGTGGGAAGAGTCATGCTTGCTACTTTTTTTCCTTTTCTCTTTTCTCCCTTCATGTTTTGACTTCGCATACTCACTTCCTTGTACTTCATTTAAAAGGTCCCCACACAGAGAGGACTCAAACAATTCCCTGCCGTTCTGGATAGTTTTGGTTATTTTTAATTTGATTTCTGGTGAACCAGTCTTCTTTGGAATCACCGTTTGGGATACTGAAGGAGGTGGCTGCTGTGGAGGAGATGGTTTTTCCAGATTTTCATGTGGCCTTATGCTAGAGTTCTCCATGTGGTAATACTCTGGTGGACTAAAGTTTCTAACAGTGCCAAAGCCATTGGCTGAACCATTAGGATACTGACTATATGGCTGATATTTGGCTTGGGGTTCATACATGCCAATTGGTGGAAATCCATTAATGAGGGGTGGAAGATCCTCCGTTGTTGGCGTAGGATACTGAAAACCTTGCTGCAAGGCAAGAGCAGCTTCATATGGCGTCTGACTACCATCTTCAGTGATGTCACTGCTGGCATCAAAAGCATCCTCTTGGCGGTTGTTAGCCGAGTCAATGAGTTGAGGTGGTTGCTGAATTGTGTTTCCCATGATCCCTTGCATGAAAGAGAAGGAGAAATCCATTGTTCTGCTCCAGCATCCTTAGCTTTCCCTTTTTCTCATAGGGCCTAAAAAAAGAAACAAGTGAAAAGATAAAGCAGTTGGTGATGCAAGTTCTTTGGTAAAGTTTAAGAAGCCAAGACAAATGCTTGGAAGTGGACTGGGCGAGAATTTCCCTCCATGCTAACACAATGAGTCTTAGGGCACTTCAAAGGCTAACAGATGTTTTATGGCATAAGCTTTAGTGTGCACTTCATCTGATGCATGAAGTGCTACCTTCAGTTAGAAAAGTATATATAAGATCCTAAGAAGAGTGCTTCTGGACTCCTCTAGTCCAACATCCTGTTCTCACAATGGCCAGTCAGATGCCTGTGAGAAGCCTGCAAGCAAACAGCACTTTCTCCACTTGTGATTCCCAGCCACTGGCATTCAGAGACATACTGCCTCCAATAACAGAGGTAATACATAGCCATGATGGTTGCATTCTACACACACCACACACAGAAGGGGAAAAAATGCATGTCTAGCATCTCTTGCATTTCACAGCCTTTCCCCTCACTGCTTATTTCCCCCCCTCTGTACCCATGTGTGGAGGCCTGGGAGACATGTTGAAACGTCATCCAAAACCGATTAGAAGTCCAGATCACAATAATGGTTTCAGAATTTCTGACCTGGCAATATATCATGAATTCCCACTCACTTCCTGGCAGAGGGAGCTCGAGAAATTTCCCGCCCGGCGCCCGCCTGCAAGTGGGCTGCCTCCTTCCTCCTGGTCACTCCTCCTGCCCACTCCCTCCTTATTTCGCAACAGAAGTGGAGAATCGTGCCATGTAGCTGCCTGGCTCTTGCATGGCCGATATGCAGAGACCAGATTACAACACAAGGACTGGGTGATGTATCGTCCAAAACCAGTTTGAAGTCCATATCCAGGAATCAACTCTCGGTTGCTTCTTCTTCCCCACCTTATTTCCTCCTTCCTCCTTATTTCAGACATCATGATATATTGGTATATTGTGATGGTTAGCTGGTAATATATTAAGATGTTGAAAACCGGATCTCACCCAGCCCTATTTGTGTAAAATATATTAAAAATCTCTAAGCCATTAAAGGTGCCAAAAGCACCATGAACAATATGACTACAGTGGTACCTCTGGTTAAGAACTTAATTCGTTCCAGAGGTCCGCTCTTAACCTAAGGTACCACTTTAGCTAATGGGGTCTCCGGCTGACGCCGCGCGATTTCTGTTCTCATCCTGAAGTAAAGTTCTTAACCCGAGGTACTATTTCTGGGTTAGCGGAGTCTGTAACCTGAAGCATTTGTAACCCGAAGTGTTTGTAACCTGAGGTACCACTGTAACTCTGTGGAGCTAAGGGCACTGGCTGAACTATTTTTTAAGTCAAGAGTTATCTACCTATACATTGCCCTCTATACCCCAGTTTTTATGTTTTGGGATTATCTTGCATTAAAAAATGTATCTATTAGACAAGAGCAAATACATGTAGTATATATATGCTACATGTTCTTCCAAAAACTGAGTTTTCTTACATACTGATGTGAGCAACTCCATTTGTGTGGTGGCCATGACAAGGAAGCAGCAAATTATTTTACAAAATCACAGATATGGAAGTAAAAACACAATCTTGCCATTCATGCATATATAATAAAGGTAAATTAAGTGGAGGCATCTCACAGCAAAAACATCCTAGGGCCTATTCAAAAGTTAAAACAGTAAAGGACCCCTGACAGTTAAGTCCAGTTGCAAACAACTCTGGGGTTGCAGCGCTCTGGCTGAGGGAGCCGACGTTTGTCCACAGAGTTTTTCCGGGTCGCGTGGCCAGTATGACTAAGCCACTTCTGGCGAATCAGAGCAGTGCACGGAAATGCCGTTTACTTTCCCGCCGAAGCGGTACCTATTTATCTACTTGCACTTTGACGTGCTTTCGAACTGCTAGGAGGGCAGGAGCTGGGACTGAGCAACAGGAGCTCACCCGATCGTGGGGATTCGAACTGCTGACCTTCCGATCGGCAAGCCCTAGGCTCAGTGGTTTAGACCTCAGCGCCACCCGCGTCCCTTATTCAAACGTTACTTATATCCCATTTTGGACTGTACCCAAGGGAGAGAACAGAAGCATGGTGACAGTTCATGCACTCCCTCCCTTTCTATTCTCAATGGGGAGAGAGCAGAACATCCAACTTAGGAGGTCTTAATTATCTGAACATATGTCAAAGTGCAAGTAGATAAATAGGTACTGCTCCGGCGGGAAGATAAACGGCGTTTCCGTGCACTGCTCTGGTTCGCCAGAAGCAGCTTAGTCATGCTGGCCACATGACCTGGAAGCTGTACGCTGGCTCCCTCAGCCGATAAAGCGAGATGAGCGCCACAACCCCAGAGTCGGCCACGACTGGACCTAATGGTCAGGGGTCCCTTTACCCTTTTACATCTTCCTTATTCTGGGAGACCAAGCACTGTTAAAGAGTGCTTATCTGCCTGGAATCAGGGAAGATTCTACATTGCAATAACCACAGGACCTTTTTGTTCAGGCAGCCATGTCTCCTGCAGTGAGAAAAACAGGTGCACTCGATAGGGAGCACAAGCCCGAGGCTCAGTCTTGCTCTCTTCCTAGTAAGAATCCAGGCTAGGAAGGTGGTATCTTTTGAACGACTACGTACAGAAAACGTTTAAAGACCTCCCCAGGCAGCATGCAGATGAAGATAGCAAAAGAAATCTAGGTTATTTTGAAGAACACTCCTTTAAATTTGACACACATTGTGATGGTTTTATGAACAAACTGTTCAGCTGAACTACTTGCTGGCAAATTTGGCCCTCGGTATCAACAACCAGCTTGCATTAGCACTCTACACTCCAGATCCAAGAATAAGCTTTTACAGTACTGTATTGCTGATCCCAGGCCAATGGGACATACAGCATAGAATAAGCATAATGACTCTCCCTCCTCTCCCCTCAAAAAACATTTTAAATACACACAATATATCCACCATCCCAATGCTTCCTTCCTAGCTGGTGTTCTGAATTCAACAATATACCAAGTCCTAAACGTTTTGCACTCAGACTTATTATGACAGTTGAGAAAATGAACCCCAAAATGCAACTACGCACACAGCTTATAACTTCATGTTTGATCAGCAATGCCTGTTTTATATGTTTGTTTGAATAAACAAACAATTACTTTGCTATTTTGCTAAGTACAAAACATTTCTAAAGGGACATAAGTTTTTAAGGTGGCAAATTTAGGAAACTTGACTTCACTTTCTTAAAATCTGGTCTACAGTACATACGCTTCAGGTTACAGACTCCGCTAACCCAGAAATAGTGCTTCAGGTTAAGAACTTTGCTTCAGGATGAGAACAGAAATCGTGCTCCGGCGGCGCGGCAGCAGCAGGAAGCCCCATTAGCTAAAGTGGTGCTTCAGGTTAAGAACAAATTTGCAGATGACACCAAACTGGGAGGGGTGGCTAACACCCCAGAGGACAGGATCACACTTCAAAACGACCTTGACAGATTAGAGAACTGGGCCCAAACAAACAAGATGAATTTTAACAGGGAGAAATGTAAAGTATTGCACTTGGGCAAAAAAAATGAGAGGCACAAATACAAGATGGGTGACACCTGGCTTGAGAGCAGTACATGTGAAAAGGATCTAGGAGTCTTGGTTGACCACAAACTTGACATGAGCCAACAGTGTGACGCGGCAGCTAAAAAAGCCAATGCAATTCTGGGCCTCATCAATAGGAGTATAGCATCTAGATCAAGGGAAGTAATAGTGCCACTGTATTCTGCTCTGGTCAGACCTCACCTGGAGTACTGTGTCCAGTTCTGGGCACCACAGTTCAAGAAGGACACTGACAAACTGGAACGTGTCCAGAGGAGGGCAACCAAAATGGTCAAAGGCCTGGAAATGATGCCTTATGAGGAACGGCTAAGGGAGCTGGGCATGTTTAGCCTGGAGAAGAGGAGGTTAAGGGGTGATATGATAGCCATGTTCAAATATATAAAAGGATGTCACATAGAGGAGGGAGAAAGGCTGTTTTCTGCTGCTCCAGAGAAGCGGACACGGAGCAATGGATCCAAACTACAAGAAAGAAGATTCCACCTAAACATTAGGAAGAACTTCCTGACAGTAAGAGCTGTTCGACAGTGGAATTTGCTGCCAAGGAGTGTGGTGGAGTCTCCTTCTTTGGAGGTCTTTAAGCAGAGGCTTGACAACCATATGTCAGGAGTTTCAGGTTAAGTACGGACCTCCGGAACGAATTAAGTACTTAACCTGAGGTACCACAGTATGAACATTCTTTCTCTTCCATCATCTTGCAATTTAACATGCAGTATTCCATTTACTAATGACACAAATACAAAATAGATCTCATCTCTCAAAAATATAAATCCAGCACAGTTAGGATCAGGGAAAGTACAGAATGAAAAAACACAGATGCACTCTCTCTCTCTCTCACACACACACACACACATACAACTTTTTTAAAATGGGAAAATTGCTCAAAACAGAGAGCAACAGCTATGGCAAATTACATCTACAACTAAAATGAAAGTCATTCTGGGAACCTGGTTGTAAGGGTGACATAAATACTAAAAAGAAGGAAGAAGCAGCTCAAGATTCTTAAGACAGATCCCTGGTTTGAAGATCAGGCCACAGGAGTTCATGCTTTTGTTGGTTTTACTGTCATTTATAGTCTTGGAAATGGCTTCAATTCTTGATTTAAATCCTAGTAAAGAGCAAACCTTTAAGAAAGGAATGTAAGGAACTGGGTTATTCAATTCCATGTCCCTGAGAATCCTAGCATGCATAATTGGCACCATTTAAGAGTCAAAGAGAGAAATAATGCCTCCCCCATTTTCAGAACTGCTCTACAATAGAGAAAAGTTGGAGGAGGGAAAGGAGCTGCTGTGCTTAGAAAGGAGAAGCCACAGCTGCTGACAGCTTGGTTTTCCTCTGCAAAAGCAGTTTTGGCAGAGCAGCAGCAGAGGGGGAGTTGTACTGCTATCGCCCTGACATTCCTGTTCGTAGAACAAAGGAAGAGAGGAGGGAACTTTTTA